TTGTAGGCAGAGTAGGGTGTGGGGGTGTAGGGGGAGTAGGCGGGGTAGGGAGAATAGGAATTATAGGGGGTATGGGGGTGTAGGAGTAGTGGGTGTGGGGGTGTAGGGGGAGTAGGGGTGTAGGAGGTGTAGGGAGTGTAGGCAGAGTTGCGGGTGTGGGGGAGTAGGGAGTGTATAGGGAGTAGGGGGTGTGGGGGTGTAGGTGGAGTAGGGGGAGTAGGGAGTGTAGGCAGAGTATCGGGTGTGGTGGTGTAGGGGGAGTAGGCAGAGTAGGGTGTGTGGGGGTGTAGGGGGAGTAGGGAGTATGGGGGTGTAGGAGTAGGGAGTGTGGGGGGAGTAGGGGGTGTAGGGAGAGTAGGGGGTGTGGGGGGAGTACAGAGTGTAGGGGGTGTGCGGGTGTAGGGGGAGTAGGGAGTGTAGGGGGCATAGGGGGAGTAGAGGGTGTGGGGGTATAAGGGGTATGGGGGGAGTAGGGGGTGTGGGGTTATTGGGGGTGTAGGGCGAGTAGGCAGAATAGGGAGTATAGGGAGTGTGGGGGAGTAGGAGTAGGGAGTATGCGGATGTCGGAGTAGGGGGTGTGGGGGTGTGTGGGGAGTAGGGGCTGTAGGAGTAGGGGGTGTGGAGGTGTCAGAGTAGGGAATGTAGGGAGTAGCGAGTGTGGGGAGAGTAGGGGCTGTAGGGGGTGTGGGGGTGTGGGGGGAGCAGGGGGAAGTGGGGGGTGTCGGGCTGTGGGGGGAATAGGCAGAGTAGGGGGTGTAGGCGGAGTAGGGGGTGTAGGCAGTGTAGAAGGTGTAGGCGGAGTAGGGGGTGTAGAAGGTGTAGGTGGAATAGGGATGTAGGCGGAGTAGGGGGTGTAGGCGGTGTAGAAGGTGTAGGCGGAGTAGGGGGTGTAGAAGGTGTAGGCGGAATAGGGATGTAGGCGGAGTAGGGGGTGTAGGCGGTGTAGAAGGTGTAGGCGGAGTAGGGGGTGTAGGGCTGTACGGGTGTAAGTCTCCTGGCAGAGTGCCTTATTTAAGGGGACGGGGAAGGAAGGTTATGGGATGACAATAAAGGTGGGCAGTAGGTTGACAGCAGGATTCTTCTGGATTTACCACTGATTTAAGGAAAGGCTAGCCCAGTCACTGGGGCGAGGGATGTGACAATTTAGGCACCAACAACCTCTGTGGTGGCAGAAATCCCAGACTGGTGAATGTTTTGTACAGTTTTCCCTGTAACGACACCTGATTTGCTTTTGACGGACAGGACTGGGGAGTCCAGCCCAGGCGGCAAATGAGGGAGAGAGTGTCTTGTGGGAGGAGGTCCCCAGCAAGGGTTTTGAAGAAGTTTTTGCCCAATAAGGGTGACAGGACATACAAGATTAGACGTTAGGAGCAGACAGGACAACAGGAGCCGAGGTAGGTAAAGGGTTTTGGCAGTTTGAAGGACACTGGACCACAGCATGGCAGAACAGGCAAGACTGGGTATTAAAGTTAGTCAGCCTCCCAAAGTGCTGGGATTACAGGTGTGAGCCACTGCACCCGGCCATTTAAATCACATTTTTAAATGGGGAAAAAGTGGCGAGCAGGTGTGAGTCAGTGGCATGTCCTGGATTTCCCTGTCCTCCGACTCCTCGGTCCCCGGAAGCTCCTAGGTATGGCCTTCACTTTCTCCTGCCTTTACTGCCTCCAGCAAAAGGTCTGGGTCGGCGAACAAGTTAGAAGGCACACAGTGGCACCTCCTGTCATTCCCTGGCGGGGCAGGAACATTAACCCATTGACTGGTCTGAGAGCAGGTGCCATGACCCTGTCTCACCAGTATGGACAGTCGCTCCCAGGGTCACACGGACAGCCATGGCGGAAGCAGGGCTTGGGGTCCTGCCTGTCTGACCCTGGATTCCCCGCACTTCCTCTCTAGGGCCCCAGATCAGGGTTGGTTTGATCCATGATGCCAAGGGCTGAACCTCCACTCCGGGAGCCACAGAGAGAAGGGACTGGCCAACCTCAGGGAGCGGCAGAGTCTGAAACCTAAGCCAGGCCTGGGAGCCAGCCCAGGTAGCAAAGGTCCCCAGAAGGGAAGCCACAGAGGCACAGATAAATTCCTGAGACCTCAGCCTGTACCTACAGCTTCTTGCCTGGCCCGTTCTGTCCCCCACCCCCTAGCCTCCCAAGACTCACTTTGGGTCAAGTTGCTTTTTTTTTTTTTTTGGCCGGGTGCGGTGGCTCACGCCTGTAATCCCAGCACTTTGGGAGGCCAAGGCAGGCGGATCACGAGGTCAAGAGATCGAAACCAGCCTGGCCAACATGGCGAAACCCCATCTCTACTAAAAATACAAAAATTAGCTTGGCCTGGTGGCACGTGCCTGTGGTCCCAGCTACTTGGGAGGCTGAAGCAGGAGAATTGCTTGAACCCGGGAGGCGGAGGTTGCAGTGAGCTGAGATTGCACCACTGCACTCCAGCCTGGTGACCGAGCGGGACTCCATGTCAAGAAAAATAATAAAAAATTAAAAACGTTATTTTTTAGAGCCGTTTTAGGTTCACAGCAAAATTCAGCAGAAGGTAGAGTCGCCACGTAACCCCGCCCACACGTGCACCCTCCCCCGCTATCTATGTCCTTTATCAAGAGTCGTGTCTTTGTTCCAACAGATAAAGCTGTGCGGACACCACTCTGTGTGCTAGAACCCTGAGTTTCCTTGGGGGTTCACTCTTGGCACTGTGCCTTCTATGGGTTTGGACAAACATGTCACGACATGTCCACCACTGACCCTAGTGTCGCACAGAGTCGTGTCCCTGTCCCAGCTCCACACACGGATTCCTTCCTCCTGTCTGCCCCCTGGCAAACACTGACCTTTTCACGGCCTCTATACTTTTGCCTTTTCCAGAACGTTCTGTAGCTGGAATCACGCAGCGTGCAGCCTTTCCTGACCAGCTTCTTTCACTTAGAGGCATTTGAGGTCCCTTTGTGTCTTTTATTTTTTGAGATAAAGAGTCTTGCCCTGTCACCCACGCTGGGGAGCAGTGGCACGATCTTGGCTCACTGCGATCTCTGCTGCCTGGGTTCAAGCAATTCTGCCTCAGCCTCTGGAGTAGCTGGGATTATAGGCACACGCCACCATGCCCGGCTGGTTTTTATGTTTTCGGTAGAGATGGGGTTTCAGCATGTTGGCCAGGCTGGCCTTGAACTCCTGACCTCAGTGATCCTCCCACCTTGGTCTCCCAAAGTGCTGGAATTACAGGTGTGAGCCACCATGCCTGGTTCCTTCAAGTCTTTGCAGCTTCACAGCCCATTCCCTTTTATATATCCTGTTGTCTGGAGGCGACATGGTTTATCTGTTCCCACGGAAGGATGTCTTGGTTGTGTCTGAGTTTGGGCAGCGGTGAATGAGGCTGCATATATCCGCGTGCAGGTTTTTGTGTGGGCGCAAGTTTTCAGTTCTTTTGGGCAAATACAAAGGAACGTGACTGCTGGATGGTATTCAGTTTGCTGTTTGGAGTAGTCAGCCTCATTCCTGGCGAGTGATGACATCAGGCGTGAAGCACTGGTTATGTGCTGCAAAACCCAGCGAGACAAAGCCCTCAGCAGCAACAGAATAAATATTCATGGGGCCCCAACAGAAGCCCCGGTTCCAGCACCCTCTGTCAGCATCACACGTAGGGGTTCCTGAGACCCTCTGCCACCTCCCTGTTCTTGAAGGAAGTGGAAGCGAAGGTGCTGGACATGCAGCAGCTTTATTAATGCTGCTGTTCTCTCTGGATAGTGAACATGGCTCACAGCCACACGCCTCTATGACCTTATGTTTCCATGGGTCAGGGGTCTGGCCTGGCAGGCTGGGTCCTTGGTTCAGGGTCAGATGAGGCTGTGATCAAGGTGTCAGCTGGGCTGTGTCCTTATCTGCTGCTCGGGGGCCTTTCCTGGTCTCACATGGACTTTGGCAGAATTTGGGTCCTGGTGGTGGTGGCGGCGGCTCTGAGATTCCACTCTTGGCTCTTGGAGGCCACTCTCTGTCCCCCGCCATGGGGTCCCCTCCCCAGCACAATGATGTCTTCAGGGCCAGTGAGGGACCTCTCATCTCATGTCATACCACCTTCTCCAGGCCCCAGGCCCTGCCTACTTAAGGGCAGGGGAACCCTCGGGGCGCGGCCCCCTGAAAGACCTGTTCATTTTCTCTCCTGGGACCAGCTCAGTCCTTCCCAGGCCCTGCAGCACTTTTGACCAAGGAAGCCAGTCTGGGAGCTCAGAGGGGACCCTGGGCATCCCCAGCTGTGTGACTGAGGCAAAAGGAAATGGGGTGGTCTCCAGCCTGGCTTGCCATACTACCTCGGAGCCCTGACCCTCTGGTGGGGGTGGGGGTCAGAACTGCCAGGGCAGCTCAGGTGTGCAGGGGCCACGTGGGTCCTTGGGAGCCAGCTATGGCCCCTCGGGGAGGTTGGGGACAGCCCCTGCAGAGGACGGAGGAGCCCATACTGAGGGGAGGGGCTGGCCAGTTCTGCCTCGGAACCCTCCAGGGGTGTCAGCCAAGGGACATAGCGAAACTGGGGTCTTCAGCTACCTGGAGGCAGCTGTTGGGCTGGGGTGTGGACAGGGGCAGGACGCGAGGAGACAATGATGGTAAAGGTGGGTGGAGCCCCAGGGAGCACGGAGGGTGGTTGTGTGGGGTGGGTGGGCACATGGGCCTGGGTACACAGGCTGGACACAGGAAGCTCAAAGCAAACACTGTGGTCCTTAAGTTGGGTTCTACATGCAAGACACTTGGGCGAAGGAGACACTTCTAATTCCCACTAAATGTGCAAACAGAGTTGGGAAAGAATATTCTAGAAGGCACTCCCATGTGGTGGTGGGGCAGGTGCAGGGTGTGAGATGATCTCGGTGGAACCCAGCTCTGCCATTCCAGGAGGACTCTGACTCCCCTGGACCCTGGTGGGCACACCCGGCCACCCCTCGCCCCCGTGGGTCCAGCCCACTCACCTGGCAGTGGAGTCAGCAAGGCTCTCGTGGGAAGAGACCAACAGACCCTCAAGGCTGTTGTCAGTATTCCATTTTTAACTTTAATGTGCAAATAAATAGAAAAGGAAAACTACATTCAAAACAGCTGCAAAGGAAGGACAAGCCCCAGAACAGAAAGTCCTCAAGAACGGAAAAAGAGGCGCTCCCTAGAAGCATGCGGGGTAGGGATACTGAGAGGGGGGCCCAGCGGGGTCTCCAGCTGCACCCAGGGCCCACGTGGCTCTGCCCGAGACAGCCGCAGGCCTGGGGCAGGAATCCTGATGGTAAATTCCCTTCTTGGAAAACAAGGGCGTGTACAAAGTGCCTGCGTGACACTGGCTCGGGGAAGGCAGGGATTCCAGGACGGGTTGGCCTTGGAACCGCCCAGCTTGGAGTCAAAGGCATCTAGAGCCTCCAGGTTCCACAGGGAACTTCTAGAAACGCATCTCCACTTCCTGGAACCTTGACTCCAGCTGCTGCAGGATGGCGAGGGTAGCGGTTATTTGCGGCCCACTAGTGTGCAGGGGCCGGGGACAGGGTCTCTTGTGGGGCGGGGAGAGGGGCTGGAGAAGTGGTCCCCAGGCCCAGTCACTTAGGATTCTTGGCACAGAAAGCCTTGGATGCCTCCATGGGACAGTCACCTCAGCCCCTCACTAAAGGACAACAATGATCCCTGGAGCGATCTCGTGGGTCCCAGGGTGGGCCGATGGGTGGGGCTGTCAGGGCAGCTCTCAGAATTCCACAAAGGCTGATCTCGCCCCCAGGGACCACGGGACTTGGCTGATGCAGAAATTACAACCACTAAGAGCGAAAGGAATAAATATCTGTGCGTGTATACACATACGCCTACAATGCCCACTGCAGGAACACGTGTGCCCGCTGCCCCACAGCGGGGTGGTGCCAACTGTGAACGCTGGCTGGGGTCCCTCCCCTCATGGGCCCAGAGTCCGGCTGCTGGAGTTGGGTGTCTTTTATCCAGAGCAGGGTCTCCTGGGGCGCTGCCTGCTTGATCCCGGTGTTGACTTCAAAGTGGGATCCGAAAGGTTTGGCTGAAGGGTTCTTTCTTCACCTCCAAAGTGACCGAGGGCCTGAATACCAGCTGGGCAGAGCTGATGCCCAAACCCTCAGGTGACATTCTGGCAGCTCTGAGAATATTCGGGAAGAACTCACTTTTCAAGCGAGCCTACCCAAGGCTCAACTCCTTCTTTGCCAGGGTCTCTTGGACATGAACCCCCTCCCAAGTGTGGGCCTCAGGAGGGCTGCCACGTGTGACTTGGTTCCAAGCCACAGTATGAACATGGGGCAGGAGCCACCCGCCTGCCCGGGATTTGGCACGTGTGGCGGACAGGGGCACAAACGTGATTGCTTGTTCCTCGGCCAGCACGTCCACCTGCCCGTGCTGGGGCTGAGCCCCAGGGCTCAGGGGCAGGTAGCTCAGGTTTGGCACACAACAGGCCCACAGGAGACCGGGAGCCACGGGGGTGGCGTCCGGCAGCTGCAGCGCTGGGAGATGCCCCTCAGGTCGGTTAAGAAAACGGCCCCCACGTGACCAAGGCTGAGGCCACGTCTGTGCTCTGTGAGGCACCTGCCCAGTGCCCAGGAGGGCAGGTCAGGGCGAGGCCGGGCGGCGGCTGTACTGCACATGGTAGCGGGTCACGGGCAGGCCATGCACGTGCACCGTCTCACACAGCGTCTTGCAGGGCACCATGTCCTCGTCCTCCTCACCCATCAGCCAGTCCTGCACCAGGCTGGCCGCCTCCACTGTCACGTTGTCCTCCAGCCAGCGGCTGTGCCACTCCTCAAAGTGCTGGTGGTGGCGGAGCAGGACCAGGGGCTGCACCTGTTGGTGAGGCGGGGTGTCAGGACAGCCGAGGGCTGGACCCCGGGCCCCAGGACGTGGGGTGAGGAGGGGGTGTCGAGGCAGCCCGGCCTCCCCCGGCACCTGCTTGGCCCGACAGAGGGTCCCGCGGCGGTACATGTAGTCCTCGGAGTTCACGATGAACACCATCTTGTGGGTGCTGAGCTTGAAGCGGCAGTCCACGTCGCAGGCGCTCTCCACGCCCACCAGCCGCTTCCAGGAGCTCCTGGCCTCGCCGCGCAGGGCCCGCGCCTGCTCGCTCTGCCATCGGCGGCGGAACTTCTTGAGGTTCCTGGGGGTGAGATGAGGTAGGGTGGACCGTGGCCTCTGGGAAAAGGGGGAGGATTTGCAGGCTGCGGAGCCCCAGGGCCCGGGACCACCAGAAGATGTGCTACCTCCCGGGAGTCCACGGAAAAACAAATGGAAGCAACACGCGACGTCCCCAAATCTGAACACCCACCAGCAGCCCCTACTGGTCCCAGGGGTGCCATCCTAGCCCAACGGGAGGTGCTCCAGGGTCCTGCCATAGCCATCCACCTCGGGCCTGGCCCTCCAGTTCTGGCAGTGTCTCCCTCCAGGCCACGTGCTCACTCCTCCATCCACTGACTCTCCATGGGGTTGGACCTGGCCCCTTATACCCCTCACCATCCTGGGGTTACTGATCCCTCCGGTGAAGACCACAAGCCTCAAAAGGGCAAGGCCACGCCTTAGCACACAGCAGGTGCCTACTAAGTGCTCCCAGACACAGAATGGGCCACAGTCCAGCCCCCGTCAGGACAAAAGGGACACTCCCTAGGCCCACTGGAAGGAACTGAGCACGTGTCTCAGGGCCTCTCACCTCTGCAGGAACACGGGTTTCAGGAGGAAGCCCTCAGTGGGTGAGCTGGACACGCCCTCGGTCCCCACGTACTGCTCCACATACCGAGCCAGGTGCTGGGGAGAGAGAGCCCGTGATGCCCCTACAGCAGGGTCATGGTCCCTCTCGCTCTGGACCCTGAGTTCAGTGGCTCACAGGGGTTCTGTGCCCACCCCTCCCCCACAAACTCCCAGAGCATGAGGAGGGCTGCTGTAGAGGCTCTGATCCCTGATGGAGAACCCCCAGACTGTAGCTCTCAACAGAGGACCCAGCTTCGGAGCGCCAGAAGCTGGAAAGATCTGCCCCCAGACCTTTAGCGGGAGCACGGCCGGGCCCAAACCGTTGTGGACTGCTGATTCCCAGGGCGTTGAGAGAACAGACTTCTGTTGTTTGAAACATTTTGATCGTTGCGGCAGTGGCCCCAGGAAATGAATGCAGTCACCCCAGCTGAGTGATGGGGACACACATAGGTCAACGCTATCCTCCCACCAGGCCACGGGAGGTGAGCAGGAAACACCTGTTCCAGTGGAAACTGTGACTGGGAACTGGGGCTTGGTAGCTCATCTGCTGGGGACTGCGATCAGGATTTGGCCCTGACATGAGGGTGCAGAGGTCACAGCTGCAGGGATCCCCTGCAGTGAGAGCCAGGGAGAGGCGACCTGGCTCCCCTCCTGCCCTGGGACCCACCTGGTGGCTTGGGAGGGGTGGTTTGCTCTTTGGAGAGTGGGCACAGAAGAGAGGCCGGTGGGGGAGCAGGGAGGGAGGCAGCCCCACCCACCAGGCCTCAAGGGGCACCCAGGGCCTGCAGAGGGAGGGTCTCTGGGTGGATGCTTCGTGGCCCGCACTTGGCTGGTGGGAGCCCCATGAAGCTGCCCTCAGACACTCCCTGGTGTACGTGGCAGGGACTGGGGCCAGGGCCTCACCTGGACCTCCACAGGGTCTTCCGTCTGGGCCTCCTCAGTGTCCAGGAGCTCGATGGTCATGATCACCTGCCCTTTGCGCTGCAGGAACATCACCTGCGGGAGCAGGAATGCCGACAGCCTGACTGCTGGGACGGCACAGCGGCACCACCGCCTCTAACAACCTCCCAAAGCCCGGATGCTTCCTGCAGGTCAAAGCCACCTCACGGGCTCTGCTGCAGGGCTGGTGTTCCAGCCGAACGCCCAAGTCCAGAGCCGAGTGAGTGGCCGGGCCTCCCCACCTGTCCCCAGCCCTGGGCCGCCTCTCACCTTGAAGCAGTTCTCATCGGCCATGCAGCGCTCAGCCTTCCACTGGTAGCTGGTCTCCCTGGCGGCGCGGACGCAGCGGGAAGACAGGTTCCCGCCAGCAGCGCCCCGCTTCTTCTCGTTCAGGTAGAGCTCCACCACCTTCAGGCAGACGTCGTCACTCACGAGGTGGTGCAGCTGGTGGGAGGGAGAGCGCATGACACAGGATGAAGACCAGGATCCTGACAGGCTGTGTGCAGACCAAACAGGCCAGGCCAGGCCAGACCAAAACCAGACTAGACCAGGCCAGGCCAGGCCAGCCCAAGCTAGACCAGACCAAACAGGCCAGGCCAGGCCAGCAAACCCTCCCTGGGTATAAGAAACACATGGAGAAGACATGGACAAAAATGTGCCACAGCAAACCAAGGAATGACGTGAAGGGGGTGTGAGTGCAGGCCATTCCTTTCCCCTGAATGCTTGGCTATAAACACACTGCCACTCCTTTTACCTCTGTGCTGAAGGAGAAAGTAACGGAGACAGCAGGGCCTGTGGGGCAGACAGGGCTGGTGTGAGCCCGCCTACACAGCCTGCGCCCTGGTCAGGACCACACTCCCCGCAGGTTCCGTGTGTAGCGTTGTTGAATGGATACAATAACACCTGGGCATGCACAGGTTTCAGAGAGTAACTGGCACACAGCAGGTACCCACTGAATGCCAGCTGCTACTGCTAAAAAAAAAAAACAAACAGCAATGCTGATTTTTAAGAAAAAGTGAGGCAGAGTCCAGATACGGTCTCAAGGCAGGTTAGGAACAGCGTGGTGGGGCCTGCAGTGAGCACCTGGGGTGTGGTGTGGCCACAGATGGGACAGCAGGGCAGCGTGAGGCCCTGACGACAGCTCCAGACAGCCAGCCCCATTTTCATTGCTTTTTAACAGGTTCTAGAGAAGAGGTTTATGGAAGGGGAGGATTTTTCAAAGCATTAATCAACGCTTTCCATAAACCATCTGGTCCAATCTCTTGGTGCCACAGCAAAGCTGCTGTCCCTGAACCCGTGGCCCATCAGGGGTGCCCAGCCTGGGGGACAGAGTGCCACCCTCTGGCAGCCCTACAACACTGCCCTGACACCATGTGATGGGCCCTGGGTGTCCTCTCTCCAGGCTGCCCCATGCGCATCTCCCTCAACCAGAAGTGGCCACTGCTGTGGATGGTGATGGGCAGGGACCCATTTCGGGCACACAGAGGGAAAGTGGAGGGGGCTGAAGCAAAGGTATCAGAATGCAGCTGTGGGTTTCCTCTAAGTCCTGTGGCCAGAATGGGGATCATTCCTGGGAATCCTTGGCCAGTTCATCTCAACACAGGAATCTCACAGAATGATACCCCCAGGATGGAGCTGGGCACTGTGTGCTTCAAGAACAGGGATCTACCTCTGTGCAGAAATCGGGGTTGTGACGACAGGCGCGGTGACTCATGCCTGTAATCCCAGCACTTTGGGAGGCCAAGGCAGGAGGATCACCTGAGGTCAGTTCAAAACCAGCCTGGCCAACATGGCGAAATCCCATCTCTACTAAAAACACAAAAATTAGCCAAGCGTGGTGGCACACACCTGTAATCCCAGCTACTCAGGAGGCTGAGGCAAGAACATCACTTGAACCAAGGAGGTGGAGGTTGCTGTGAGCTAAGATTGCACCACTGCACTCCAGCCTAGCGACAGAGCCAGACTCCATCTCCAAAAAACTCAGGGTTGTTGGTGTCCACATGAGCTGAGATTGCACCACTGCACTCCAGCCTAGCGACAGAGCCAGACTCCATCTCCAAAAAACTCAGGGTTGTTGGTGTCCACATGAGCTGAGATTGCACCACTGCACTCCAGCCTAGCGACAGAGCCAGACTCCATCTCCAAAAAAAACTCAGGGTTGTTGGTGTCCGCAGGTGGCTGGGTGGGGACACAGGGGCAGGGGTTCTGCTGATGAAAGTCCATCCATCTGCCCCCTTCAGATCTGGGGACTTTTCTGCGTGTGGTTTTTAGTTCCACAAGCAGTCTTTAAAACCTGGAAGGAAACATCTTGTGTGAAATGTTTCTCATGACTGTGTCTGAGTGGGAGAATAATGGCATTAGTTTTTTTCCCAGCTTTTTTTCCACTTCAAGATGAATAGCCTTACTTGGTGACCAGGAAAACAGAGGTCACCACAAACAATGCTGCTGGCAGAAGCCAAGCAGGACCCATGTCCTGGAACCACACCCAGCTCGTCTGGGACGTCTGCTGTTTCTATTTAGGTGACTGGTTTCCTCGTGGTGACATTCAGTGGGGATTGGTTTTTGCTATTACTAAAACCAACGCTGGTGAGCAGCGCTATTCCCACCCTCCCCCAGGATAAGTGGGTTAAGGTTTCTTCCACCTTGTCAGTTTACCCTCAAAAAAGGTTTGCCAACAGGGACTCAGAAAGACTTGTACACAAACGTTCAGAGCAGCACTGTTCGCCATCTCTGTAGGCAGCCATAGCCCAGATGGCCACCAAGAGATGGAGGAACGAAATGCGGCCAGCCATGCAATGGATATCACAGAGCCATAAAAAGGAATGAACGCAGTGTGGGGGAAAGCCAGAGGCAGAAAGCAGATTACTGGATGTCGGGGGCTTGGGGTGGGGGAAAGGGGAGTGGCTGCTACTGGGGACCGGGTCTCCTCTGGGAAAGATGAAATGTTCGGGAACTAGACAGAGGTGGAGGCTGCACAATATTGTGAATGTACTAAGTGTTACCAAACTGGACACTTCAAAATAGTTCATTTTACATTATGAGAATTTTGTCTTAAGAAATCGGGATAGGTTCGCTGTTGACCACAGGCCCCCTCCCGGCAAGGGAGTGAAATGACGGGAGGGCCACGTGCAGCGTCCTAAGTGTCGGCCCGCCCCGGCTCACCTGCCGCGCGATGTTCTGCACCAGCTTGTCCATGGTGAAGCCCACGTAGGCATGGATGGTGAACATCTCACGCAGGGTGTCCTCGTACTGCGTGGGGTCAATGCTGCCCTCCAGCAGGCTCCGTACCATGTCCAGGAAGGCTGGGTAGTACTCCTCCAACTCCACTTCACCTGTGGGGCCACATGGCTTTATCCACATGCCTCCCGGGGGGGGGCAAGAACCCATGCAGGCCAAGCTCTGGCACCGCGGCGCCCCAACAAATGCCCCCGTGGGGCCCAGCAACCTTCACCCGCCACCCCTGGGCATGAGCAGGAAATCCGAGTAACTGGCGTTCACCACCACCCTCCCTGAGGCTGCCTAACCTGACTGGCAAGCCAGGGATGGCAGTCAAAGTGCTGTGGAGGCCAGGCATGGTGGCTCATGCCTGTAATCCCAGAACTTTGAAAGGCAAAGGCAGGTGGATCACCTGAGGTTAGGACTTTTGAGACCAGTCTGGCCAACATGGTGAAATCCTGTCTCTATTAAAAATACAAAAAATTGGCTAGGTGTGGTGGCACACGCCTGTAATTCCAGCTACTTTGGAGGCTGAGGCAGGAGAGTCGCTTGAACCTGGGACGTGAGGTTGCAGTGAGCCGAGAGCACGCTACCATACTCCAGCTTGGAAAACAGAGCAAGACTCCATCTCAAAAAAAAAAAAAAGGGCGCTGTGGAGCTTGGCCTTCCACGGGAAGGCCTGGGAGAAACACCGCTTTCCTGGTCACGAGAGGGTGCTACACCCAGGACAGCAGCCTGGGCGAGGCGTACACAAGACCTGTCTGATGCTGGCAGCTTCCTGTTTGCAATTTCCCATTTGAAATCACAGAATTTTTTTTTTTTTTTTTTTGAGACGGAGTTTCGCTCTTGTTACCCAGGCTGGAGTGCAATGGCGCGATCTCGGCTCACCTCAACCTCCGCCTCCTGGGTTCAGGCAATTCTCCTGTGTCAGCCTCCTGAGTAGCTGGGATTACAGGCACGCGCCACCGTGCCCAGCTAATGCTTTGTATTTTTAGTAGAGACGGGGTTTCACCATGTTGACCAGGAGGGTCTTGATCTTTTGACCTCGTGATCCACCCGCCTCGGCCTCCCAAAGTACTGGGATTACAGGCTTGCGCCACCGCGCCCGGCAAAATCACAGAATTCTTAAAAAGCCAGAAAGAAACAGGACGTGTGGGATGATAAGCTGTGACCCCGCCCCCCCGCCCCGCGCCTCCTGCCAGGCCCTGGAGCCTTACTGGGCTGCTTCAGCCGCAGCTCCATGGCGGGGTCGCTGCCCTTTTCCCGTCGGCCCTCACAGAGCAGCTTCTCCCGCTCCTTCTCAGTCCGATACTCCAGGAGCTGCTTCTGCGCCTGGCGGTAGATCTTCAGCAGCCTGGAGCACAGGGTCTGGTGCAGGCGCAGGAAGAAGTACCAGTTGTTGTTGGCGAAGAAGAGGCTGTAGACGTCATCCAGGGCCTTGTGCGGAGGTGGGGGTGGCGGGGGCGGCTGCTCGGCGGCCGGGGCATCCCCGAAGGCCCCCTTCTCCTCCGGGGGGCTGCTGTGCGGTCCTGGCGCCGGCTTCTTCCGTTCGCTGGGGTCTGTGCTCTGCCCCTGGGAGCTGTCCCGGTCCTCGTCGGCTGACTCCTCGGAGGCGCCCAGGTCCAGCTGCTGGGAGAAGAAGAGGCTGGGCACGAACTGGTGCAACAGCTGGTGGATGGTGCCCTGGTCCTCCTTCTGGATGGCCGGCTGCCGCTTCACGTAGTAGCTGATGAGCGCTGCCGCGTCCTCCAGGATCTGCCGGTCCTCATACACGAAGATGAGGTGCGGCTCGCTGGAGGGGGCACTACGGGCCTCCGAGTGCTGCTCCTGGTGCTGTGGGGGACAGGACAGCCATTAGGCAGGAAGCCACCGAGCACCCAGAAGACCCCCCACACCTTTTGTGAGTTGCTGTGAGCTGGGCCACCAAGGTGGGTGAGTGCTGCCCAGAGAGGGGTGGGTGAGCAGCGTCAGTGAGGCAGCAGGGCCTGGGGGCAAAAGGCGCTTGCCTCAGCCTCTTGTGCAGTGCCATGTGCTCCTGGTCCCCTCTCCGAAAGCAAGGCAGACCCAAGTCATCCCAGGATGCCAGGTGAAGGAGAGGATTCTGAGATGGGAGGGGGGAAGTCACAGCGGGGTCTGGCAGCATCAAGCCTGGGTCTGTCACTCAGCCCAGCTCCAGGACAGATCGGGGCCCCATGGCTCAACACAGAGAAGCCTCCGAGGCCGACCTCCTACTACAGACAGCAACAGCAGCGCCTTATTCCGGCCTGGCCATGGCTGCCCACACCACGCTGTTGATGAGGTCAAGGAGGTGCAGGGTAAGCCTCGACCTCTCTGCCTCTGCCCTCCATCTACTCCCCAGGAGCTCTGCGACTCTCCCATCTGAAGCCCCACACACCCATCGTCACCAAGCCCGTCTCCACTGCTGTCACCCACCAGCCCCTGTACGTGCTCGCTACCACCATCACGTTGCCAGCCCTCCCACCAGCTCCCACCAGCCTGCTCCAACCGCTCTCCTCACCGAGTCTTGGGCAATTTGGCCAACAGGAGCAAAGTCGCCCTGACTAATGGTCCCCAGGCTGCTCAGAAGACGCCGGGCCCTGGCATGCCCCTCACAGCTCCTCTGGCCTTGCAGCCCCCAGCCTCCTTCCTGCGATGTTTGGGGCGTCGAGCTCCCCCTGCATGTGCAGGGCCTGCGCACATGCCCGTCTGCTCTCCCTCCCTGGAAAACCCCGTCCCAGGCTTACCCCTCCCTCAGGCTCACCTCTCCCCTTGGTCTGTATTCAAATCGTGACTTTCATTCCCTCACAGCGGAAGACAATCACTCCTTCCTCCAGCCTGCCGCGCCACTGTGCTGGGCGGCCCCAACCCCTCAGCACCAGGGAGGAGGCAGACACACCAGGGCTCTTGAGGAGAGTGAGTGTGGATGCTGTCTCTGCCGGCGGGGAGCTCCCGAGGGCAGCACCGGGTCTCCCAGCAGCCTGAGGCTTCCCTTCCTCCTCCCCTGCAGGGCAGCGTAGACGCTGGCGGGGCCAAGCATGCTGGGCTGGTTCCTAGGAGTCTGCACACACAGCTCCGCTCTGGGCTCTGCAGTGGGACCTCTGCCCTCTGACTGCTTCCCAAGTCCCCTAGGTCTGATTGATGCCATAAACACTTTCAAAATTCCTTTACAGTCTCCTCTGAAGCAGGGTCCCCACGCCTGCGGTCCATAACCGTGCTTTGTAAACTGCGTGATGGAAGGGGGGTCTGACTTTGGAATGCAGCAAGGACCTGCATGTGCAGAGACCCGCCAGGCTGGGGGCCAACCTCAGTGCCTCTGCCCTCATCAGCCCCAGGCGGGGGACTAGGAACTTGGGGTCACATCAGTGGCTTTCCAGGGCCACTTCATCACCTACACTTTGCAGATGCCACAGACTCACAGAACCTATGCAAGATCTCAGGGTTGAGGATCCTCGGAGGGCCACAGTGAGGAAGCCAGAGTGGCTGTGGGGTAGGCCTGCGGCGAGGGCAGCCCACGGGAGGGAGGTGGAAGGGAAGGGGGTCTCCACAGTCCCACAGGCTCTGCGAGAGGCCTCAGGCCAGCAGCCCGGTTCCTGTGGCTTCCGTTTCTGTGTTGCAAAAGGAGGAGGTACTGCTCATTGTGCGGTAACAGGAGGAAGAAACCGAATCAGGTGAGGTGATGCCCCTGCCCAGGTGGGCACCAGGCTGACAATGCAGCCCCCATGGTGAGCTGGGCACTGCCCAGGGAGCACCACCCCTCCCCAGCCACCTTCTCAGAGCAACCGAGGACCTTCCCGACAGCTGGCTGCCACCACGCCCAGCACCCTGCCAAGCTTCCCACCTCAGGCTCCGAGGGCATGGCTGCTAACAGACCCAGCTCCTGGCAACCTGAGGGGCCCGCTGGCCTTGGTTCTGTGACTCAGGCCTCATGAGCCCGCAGTGAGGATGTGCAGTAGAAAGCCTCGGACCTGACAACTCCAAGCTCCGGCACGCCATGACCAGCCCTGGCCAAGTGCAACCTCTTGTGCCTCAGTTTCCCCACTGGTAAAATCAGAATAATGCCGCAGCAGAGTCAGGTTCAGAAGTGAGGTCAGATGCGATATTACTCCTTCTGGGGGGTGCTAACACCCTGCCCGGCACAGTCAGCAAGAAAGAAATGAAGGCTGCTACCACCCGCCACCTAAGCCAAAGTCCATCACTGCCCCATGGGAGGGTCAGAGACTTCTCTAGACAACAGCAGAGTTGCCGGTTCTCCTAGGGCAGGCTGAAGGCTAGGCATCACAGAGACACGAACCCTCGCCTAGACACAGCTCTGAAAGGGCAATGCCACGACCCTGCCTAAGCACCAGGGAAACAGAGGCACAGACCCAGTGGTCAGGAGAGCCAGAACCCCACCCAGCCGGCCAGCAGGGTTAGGAAAGGCCGTACCTCGTCATAGACGCTCTCGATCTCGTTGAGCAAGCTCTTGGAGCGCAGGGCCTTGGTGTCGTTCTGCTTGAAGTTCACAGCCTGGTGGTCGAGGGACTTGAGGTACGCCTTCTCGTACTGCTCCCGCCAGATCTTGTTGAAGCCCTGCTGGGCCTCCCGCCACTCCTCCTCCTTGGCCTTCAGCCTGTGGGGGAAAGAGGGGTCAACGCCAGGGACAAGCCAGGCCATCCTCCCTAAAGCACCCTGGGGCTGGCCTGTCTTCCTCTGGGATTTGACTGGGGGCCCAGGACCCAGGCCAGCCAGCTCCCAGCCTGGTCTGTGCAGTGGGCTCCGTGCTGCATCAGAGGGAAGGCGTGATGGCCTCACAGAGCCAATGTGGCTGGCTTCCCAGTTCCTCCGCCTCTCCGCATGGCTGCTGGATCAACCACTCAGGCCCCTTGCTCAGCTGTGAGTCCCACGAGGAGAGGGATCAGGTCTGCCTCACTCAGCTGCGCAACCCCAAGCAGGGGTGCAGGGCCAAGCACAGCACCTCCCTTAAAGTGGCCACTTAATCAATACCTGTACGGGCTGGTATCTGAGCTGCAGCATTACATAAAAAGCCAGCCACAGTGTGGTGGTCGCATCTGACTCTTACAGCAGTTATTTACATGTCTAGATGTGATTACGTGCAAGGTAGAAAGTCCTAGAAGCAAAGTCCTAGAGGGTCACAGTGCTCTCCTCTCAGGAGGGGGAGTGGGAGATACGGGAAGCCAGCCCTAGGCCTCAGAGACCCCCGCTGGAGACGACACCTGCTGACAAACAGCACTAATGAGCAGTCCAGGAGCGCCCCGAGGTGGGAAAGGCAGGCCAGACGCTGTAGGGCACCTTTTCAGGACAACAGGGACAGCGGTGACGGGATTCTTCTTGAGGCTCTCAATGATCTCTGGGGCCTTGTCGCCATAGATGCGATGGATGGCGCGGCGCTGGATCACCTCCGACGTGCCCCCCAGGGAGTCGTCCAGCCGGAACTTCTCCTGGTCTTCCGGCGCCATCCGAGAGAGCTTCTTCTGCACGCTTTCCAACACGCGGATTGTGGCCAGGTTGGTCTCCAGGACCACGTCTAACTATGGAAAGGAAGGCAGGAAGGGGTCAGCCGCTGGGGAACTCAAGAGGCCCCAGGGAGGGTCCTGGGACCTCAGAGGGCAGAGAGTTTGTGTGCGTGCGTGCGTGTGTGTGTGTGTGTGTGTGTGTGTGTGTGTGTAAGAGACACCTCAGAGGGCAGAGAATTTTTGGGGTGTGTGTGTGTGTGTGTAAGAGACAGAGTCTTACTCTGTCACCCAGATTGGAGTGCTGTGGCACAATCATAGCTCATTGCAGCCTCAACCTCCTGAGCTCAAACAATCCTCCCACCTTGGCCTCCCAAGTAGCTAAGAGTGTAAGTGTATTCCACCATGCCTGGCTAATTTAAAAAAAAAAATTGTTTTCTGTTATTTGTGAAAAACAAAAAAGAAAAAAAGAATAAATAAGAAGAAAAACACAAAGAATGAAAAAAAATTTTTGTATAGGTGAGTTCTTGCTTTGCTGCCCTGGTTGGTCTTGAACTACTGGCTTCAAGCATTCCTCCTACCTCAGCCTTCCAAAGTGCAGGGATTACAGGTGTGAACCGTTGCGCCCGACCAATAAAAATTTTATTTAAAAGAAATACATATTTACAAAAATTATTTTAGGCTGGGCAATAAAGACCCTGTCTCTAAAAAAAAGAAAAAAAAATAAGCCAGGTGCGGTAGCTCATTCCCTTAACCTCAGCACTTTGGGAGGCCAAGGTGGGAAGATCGCTTGAGACCAGGAGTCCGAGACCAGCCTGGGGAACATAGTGAGACCTCATCTCTACAAAAAAAGTTTAAAAAAAAAAAAAAAAAAGACCTGGGCATGGTACTGTGCACCTGTGGTTCCAGTTACGCAGGAGGCTGAGGTGGGAGGATCATTTGAGTCTGGGAGGTCAAGGCTGCAGTGATCCATGATCGTGCCACTACACTCCAGCCAGGGAGACAAAGCAAGCAAGATAAACAAAATAAAAGTAAATTTAAATTACATTAATTAAACTTTTTTTTTTTTTTTTTTTTTTAGTAGACAGGGTCTCATTCCGTTACCCAGGCTAGAGTGCAATGGCGTAATCTCAGCTCACGGCAGCCTCGGCCTTACCTGACTCAAGTAATTCTCCTGCCTCAGCCTCCTGAGTAGCTGGATTACAGGTGCCCACCAGCACACTGGACTAATTTTTGTATTTTTGATAGAGTTGGGTTTTCACCATGTTGCCCAGGCTGGTCTCAAACTCCTGAGCTCAAGTGATCAACCTGCCTCAGCCTCCCAAAGTGCTGGGATGACAGGTGTGTGCCACTATGCCCAGCCCAAATACAATTTTTAAACAGAAAAAAAAGCACCATCTAGTCGCCAGCCCAGAGGCCAGCAAGACCTGGGAGGAAGCTTCCAGGAGCTGCTGGAATGTGCTGCAACACCTGCTCCTCCAAAGGAGACTGGGGTGGTGGAAGAGGAAGCGGACGCGTGTCCTGTGGAGAATGTGCTGGGGGTGGGAGGGTCTGGCCACAGCAGCCCCATGTAGGAGGGGACAGGCGCGTGCTGGAGGCCCAGCCGCAGCGGCACACACACCTCGAAGCGCTCGTCCTCACAGCGGTGCAGCTGTTCCTCGTAGGGCGTCTTCTTGGAGCTGACGAAGGTGGAGTCCTCAGACCAGGAGGGGAAGGAGACCCAGGTGTCATTCAGTACCTGCACCGAGAGGAAACCGTATGACCAGCGCAGCAGGCCCCAGGGAGCCAAAATTTACTGTCATCCAGAGTAGAAAGGACAAAGATACATTATACCATCCTGATTATGTAACAGGCAAATGCCTTACACAAATGGGAAGGCTAACAAAGTTTTTAAGGGAAAACATGTCTTTGGTTAAGTGAACAGGTCCCTTGGTGTCCTGGGAGACTGGTTGCAGAACCACCCCTAGAGACCCAAATCCACAGATACTTAAGTCCCTGATTCAAATGGAGTCCTATTTGCATATAACCTAGGCAGAATCATGTCTAGAATACTTCTACCTAACGCAATGTAAATGCTATGTAGATCATTGTCACACTGCATTCTTAAAATGTGGATTATGTTTTGCTGTAATATTATTTTTTGGTTTCTCTTTCCCCACATATTTTCAATCCATGGTTAGTTGAAACCACAGATGTGGAATTCGCAGATACGGAGGGCTGATTTCAGTTCAGACACTGGTAAATTCTCTCTGCAAAGGTGACATAGCGAGTATCTCAGGCTTTGCAGACTATCCCGGATGAATACTCAACTCTGCCTTTGTGGTGAGAAAAGCAGCCACAGGCAATATGTCAATGACTGGCTGTGTCTGGGTGCCAATAAAACTTTATTTACAAACACAGGCAGCGGGCCAGGGTCCACAGGCCAGAGTCTGGTGACCCCTGCACTGTATCCTGGAATCCAGCAGGTACTTTGGAAACTTGGACATGCAGTATCGTCTGTCCACAAACCCTGGATAAGTATCCAATGGTCAAGCTCAACAGAAACACTGAGGTCAGTGAGCCCAGGACTGAGCAGCCATAAACCTAAGTCAGATAACCGAAGAATAAGCCGAACTCCACATTATTCCTGGCACTCTGTGTTTTGCCACAACTACCAACAGGATACAACACTGTCATCTCTGCTCAGGTGGTTTTTCCAGGCCACATCCCAGCACCACCCATAACCCAACATTCAAGGGGGCTGAGCACACAGCGTTTTATTCATAACAGGGGTATTGTGTGTTTGCTGGGGAGGGGTGGGGGATGCACCATGTCAAGGAACACGTGAGTCCTGGGGAGCACTACCTCCTTGCAGATGGCCGTCCTCCCGCTGCACTTGGGTTGCTGGTAGGTTTTGGGGAGCGCCCGGTAGCTGGATCCTATGCGCTTGCAAGATGCATAGTCAATTTCCCGGCTTATCCCGTCCCCAGATCTGTCGCTCATGGGTGGTGCAAAGGACAGCTCTTTTACCCCCAGGAAGGACTTGAACTGTGCAAAGAGTTCTGGAAATTTCCTTCAAAGATAAAAACAAATGGTAACTGGTGATCCCCAGGGCCTTCTGAGAGGGATCTGGAGATTTCAGAATGGCTTCAAATGGACATTCCAGGTTAAACAGAGTCAGAATTCAACATCATGGACGGGAATGAGAGGTGGAAACATCCCATACACAGGAAGTCACTGCACGTCCCGAGGTGTGTGAATAAATGGGCCTCCCACCCCTCTGTCACATACCAGGTCCCTTCCTGTGTCTACTGACCCCAGACTCACAGGAAGGCTTTGAAATAAACCAGAAAAGATGACTTAAACGGGCAGAAGCTGGAGCCCGCGATGTTCCCTGACTAGAGAGGCCAAGCTTCACCTTGGCCAATGTACCCACTGCCTGTGTTTTGTTTTGTTTGGTTTTAGAGACAGTGTCTCACTCTGTTGCCCAGGCTTGAGGGCAGTGGCATGATCTCAGCTCACTGCAACCTCAAACTCTTGGGCTCAAGAGATCTTCCCACCTCAGCCTCCTCAGCAGCTGTGACCACAGGCATGTGCCACCACGCCTGGCTAATTTTAAAAACTTTTTGTAGAGTTAGGGTCTTGCTATGTTGCCCAGGCTGGTCTCCAACTCCTGGCCTCAAGCAATCATTTCGCCTCATCCTCCCAAAGTGCTGGAATGAAGCCCAGCCATCCCATCGTAAATAAAGGTTCGCTGGCACACAGTCAGACCCACTCGGTTTTGCAGTGCCTGTGGCCACCTGCACGAGAGGGGTTTGAGTCATTTCCACAAAGCCCATATGAGCCCTCAGAGATCAAGTTCACTGATCCCCGAGCCACAGTCTTCTGCTGTCGTGAGAGAGACTCCTCTCTGTGAACCCCTCTCTGGACACATCCTTGAAAGTCATAATGTCATGGCTGTGCTTGACGACAGGAAGGATTGACTGCAAATGACCCTACAATGCCACTTGGATTTCTGTTTAGAACAGTATCAGATCTGGTGGTGTGTGCTTGGAATCCCAGCTACTCAGGAGGCCAGGGTGGATCACTTCAGCTCGAGAGTTTGAGACCAGCCTGGGCAACACAGCTGGACACCAGCAACATGAGATCCTACCAGAAGACGTGCAGTTACTTTGACTGCTGGTGACGCGGTCCTGCTGTGACCGAGCCCCCCGGCCCACCCGCGTATAACAACATCCCCCTCGGTGACGTGGCTTCCGTCGTGCCCTATATTTAAGAACCCTATGCCAACTCTGTTCACAAGAAAACCCACAAGCCAATGGAAACGTAGGGAGAAAAGATACCAATAAAAATACTGCAGAGGGCTGGGTGCAGTGGCTCACGCCTATAATCCCAGCACTTTGTGAGGCCCAGGTGGGTGGATCATGAGGTTAAGAGATCCAGACCACCCTGGCCAATATGGTGAAACCGTCTCTCCTAAAAATGCAAAAATTAGGTGGGTGTGATGGCATGCACCTGTAGTCCCAGCTACTCGGGAGGCTGAGGCAAGAGAATTGCTTGAAACCGAGAGGCAGAGGTTGCAGTGAGCTGAGATGGAGCCACTGCACTCCAGCCTGGTGACGGAGTGAGACTCTGTCTCAAAAGAAACAAAACTGCTGCAGAGATGCCTGAGGCTACTGCTGAGTTAAACGAAAACCTTAACTGCTCTGAAGGGATACTTAACCCCATCCACCCCGGCTGCCAGCTCCAAGGGGCAGCTCCCTGGGCCATGTTCAGCTGCCCGGCCCAGGTGAGCACCTGTCGGCAGGTTGAACATGCAAAGGAACTCCACGTGGTGGTGAATGCTCCTAACCCATCCAGGCCTCGAGTCAAGAACACGCAGAGGCCCACGTCAGTTCTGGACCTTGCTCCATATAGACCTTCCCCAAATGCACTTCCCCATGAGTCTCTCACTACTGCTGAAACACGGAAACAAGAACAGCTGACTGTGCCCCAGCACTGCCCATCGGCTCAGCACCTTGCCTTTCATATTCTTGAATTTCACGTTCCTTTGTCTTCCCCTCTAGCCCCCTGACAAGCCTAGGAGGGAGGTATGGCCACTTTACAAAGACACTGAGGCTTGCTTGGCTGCTAAGAAGCAGAGTCCCAATTCCAACCCAGGTTGATCACTTGCCCCGGGGCCCAGGTGCCGACACCAGCTGCACACACAGCCCCGAGGGCCCCTGGTCAGGAGAGTGCTGGATTCTGAGCCCCAAAGAGGTGAGTCAAGGTGACTGTGCATTCCACGTCCACAGAAAATGCCCACCCATGTGTACCCACGTCACAAACAGATCTCAGGGGCTCGTTTGGCTGAGACTAGAGTAGTACCCTCCTGCTCTGGGCTGTTCTTCGGGGCATTTACAGACCTTCAGCAGCCCAGGAAAGAAAACCCACGAGAAAGAGCACCCCAACACGTGCAAGCCCAGGACCACCAGGGAAAAGGCCTTCTGATCGGCTGAGCTTGACTCGTGAGGGTCAGGAGCATTTGAGGGAGGACCGGAGGCCAGCGCTCATTGTCAGATATCTTGCTAAGGGAAGGAAAAGCCATGCGGTTACTTAAAAATGAGGCCGTGAGTCAGGCGCGGTGGCTCACACCTGTAATCCCAGCCCTTTGGGAGGCTTAGGCAGGCTGATCACAAGGTCAGGAGATTGAGACCATCCTGGCCAACGTGGTGAAACGCTGTCTGTACTAAAAATACAAAAACTTAGCCAGGCGTGGTGGCAGGTGCCTATAATCCTGGCTACTCGGGAGGCTGAGGAAGGGGAATCACTTGATCCGGGAGGCGGAGGTTGCAGTGAGCTGATATCAGGCCACTGTACTCCAGCCTGGCGACAGAGCAAGACTCCACCAAACAAAACAAAACAAAACAAAACAAAAGGACGTGGGTTCACCTCTGATGCTGAAACACTTCGAAGAAATGCTGAGTTAAAAAAAAAAAAAAAAAGACACGAAGTCCAGCCTGACAGCATGAGTCTGTTGACACAACACCCAGCAGCCACTGTGCCCAGAAGACAGAGAACATGCAAAGGGCTGGCTGTGGGGCTGGAGCACCCTGCTGCTGCCTAACAGCACACTCAGCTCACCTAAGAGCGTTTGTCCTTGGGTAAGTCAGAGGCATTTGATCTGAGCTTCAGCGTCCTCACCTTTATTTTTGTTTATTTATTTATAGACAGAGTCTCACTCTGTCGCCCAGGCTGAGTGCAGTGGTGAGATCATGGCTCACTGCAACTTCTGCCTCCGAAACTCAAGCGACAGCTACGGGTGCATGCCACCACTTTGGGCTAATTTCTGACAAGGACTCACTATGTTGCCCAGGCTAGTCTTTTTTTTTTTTTTTTTTGAGACAGAGTATTGCTCTCTTGCCCAGGCTGGAGCGCAGCAGTGCGATCTTGGCTCACTGCAACCTCTGCTTCCTAAGTTCGAGCAATTCTGTCTCAGCCTCCTGAGTAGCTGGGACTACAGGCACAGGCCACCATATCCAGCTAATTTTTTTAATTTTTAGTAGGGATGGGGTTTCACCATATTGGTTAGGCTGGTCTTGAACTCCTGCCCTCAGGTGATCCACCCACCTTAGCCTCCCAAAGTGCTAGGATTACAGGTGTGAGCCAGTATGCCCAGCCCCTCACCTTTAAAAGGACTAGAAGATGTACTGAAACATATCAAATATGTTTTAAGTCCATAAATTCATTAACATGCTTTTTTAAAAAAGGACCTAATTGGTCCCCTTGGGAAGATGACACAAAAACAGATCATCACTCTGAGGCCGCAGGAAGGAAACAAGACTGAAATCAAGCAGCTCTCCTGGCCACTTTAGAAAAGGTAGTAAATGCTGTGGCAATCTTCCGGTGCAACCCCAAATGAGTGAGCAAATCTGGGAGGCTAATATCACAGAAATAACAGGGACAGGGACACACAGAGGGACTAGAATCAGAGTGAACTGGAGGTGAAAGGAGACTTAGGAGCTGTATTAAGAAACAAAACCCAGGGCCTGGGTGCCATGGCTCACACTTGTAATCCCAGCACTTTGGGAAGCTGAGATAGGAGGATCACTTGAGGCCAGGAGTTTGAAACCAGCCTGGCCGACGTGGAGAAACCCCGTCTCTACTAAAAAATACAAAAATTAGCTGGGCGTGGTGGCACGCACCTGTACTCCCAGCTACTCGGGAGGCTGAGGCAGGAGAATGGCTTGAACCTGCAAGGCGGAGGTTGCAGTGAGCTGAGATTGCGCCACTGCACTCCAGCCTGGATGACAGAACGAGACTCCATCTCAAAAAAAAAAAAAAGGAAGAAAACCCAGCTGGGGGTGAAACTGAGGCATGTATTTGGCGATGCCCACCTGGGTGGCTGCACCGTCACTAGCGCAGTGGGCGGTCACTCCTGTAGTCAGGACACTCTCGCAGTGAGAAGGGCAGGGACTGGAATGGTACGCAGGGGGCTCCTGGAGTCTATTTTTGACATGGGTGGTGGGCACATAGGTGACTGCTTAATAAAGATTCAAGCCATTTCTTGGCCATGTGGTTTTTTTGGATCTGTGCTTCATTTTACATTAGAAAAATATTTATATATACACACATTTTTTTAAGTTAATGCAAAAGGACTCACACAGCACCTGTCCCCAGGGTTGATTTAACTGTTTCCCATTTAGAAAAAAAAGTACAGCTCATGCCAGAGCTCACTTAATTTTACATAAACACTCTCTGAGGCTGAAGCAAATCTGACTGAGTTTCAATGTGGAAGTAAAATATAAAAACTGTTCTTGGAGTTATTTCTAAACAGAGCATCAGAATCATCTGAATCACCAGAATTGTCTATTTTAGAACAGTCAGAGTCATCAAATGAGTCTTTGGCCAACAACTGTTTGAGAACAATGTTCCCATCAAGTGTAGGAATGCTACATTTTCCAAGATTTGACATTTTCAGTGATTAAGATTTACTATATTTTGTGTAACTGGAAATACCACTGCTAAAAACAGAATGCTATACATAAAACCGTGTCTTTTTATTTCCAAAGCTGATCTATGAAAGCAATGCAAAAATAATAATAAAAAGGAGACGCTTCATGACAAAGTTATCTCGGGGTAAACGCTGCAGCCACAACTGCCATCAACTACTATTCTTGGGGTAAATGGGAAAACAGTTAAGGACTGACTGGGCCGATCACATAACATGTGTGCTCACCATGTGTGAGAACCATTAAAAAACATCATGGCCAGGCACAGTGGCTCATGCTCGTAATCCCAGCACTATGGGATACTGAGGCAGGCAGACTGCTTGAGGTCATGAGTTCGGGACCAGCCTGGCCAACATAGCAAAACCCCATCTCTACTAAAAATACAAAAATGAGCCAGGTGTGGTGGCACACCTGTAATCCCAACTACTCAGGAGGCTGAGGCAGGAGAATCGCCTGAACCTGAGTTGGAGGTTGCAGTGAGCCAAGACTGCACCACAGCACTCCAGCCTGGTTGACAGAGCAAGACTCTGTCTCAAAAAGAAAAAAGAAAGAAAAAAAATCTTCAGGTGTATTTTTCTTGGACACTCTTCCTTTCTTTAGGTAGATCCAAGTTCGTGATTTACATCATTTCCTTCTGCCTAAAGAAACTCGTCGTTTCCTTTTATTTGTGAGATTCTATTGTATTTGAAGGGCCCTAGACGTGGTGCCCACCTGCAGGTCTCGGGAACCGCGCATAGGTAGGTACATTTACTATCCCCATTTTACAGCAAGGAAACTGAGGCTTGGACTGGCCAAGTGACTCATCCCAGTCACAGGGCTGATGTGCACGAAGCGAAGCTGACTCCAGTTGGCTCCCAGGTCTCACGCAGCACTCACAGGCCCGCCTGCTCGTACTGTACACACTCCTGTGCACCCAAGAGCAGATGCAAGGGTGCACAGTTGCTCTCAGGCCCCTCCACCCAGACCCAGTCCCCTCTTAGGCTGACCTGGCCACCAGGGGTTAGAAACTGCTCTCAGACCTGACCCACTCAAGAGGCTTCTCTCTGTGCAGCTGGGGTGTTTTTTTTGTTTGTTTGTTTTTTTAATGGAGTCTCATTCTTGGTTGCCCAGGCTAGAATACAGTGGCACAGTCTTGGCTCACTGCAACCTCCGCCTCCCGGGTTCAAGCGATTCTCCTGCCCCAGCCTCCCGAGCAGCTGGGATTACAGGTGCCCACTACCATGCCCGGCTAATTTTTGTATTTTTTAGTAGAGATGGGGTTTCACCATGTTAGCAAGGCTGATCTTGAACTCCTGACCTCAGGTGATCCACTCACCTTGGCCTCCCAAAGTGCTGGGATTACAGGTGTGAGCGGCTACACCCAAACTTTTTTTTTTTTTTTTTTTTGGATATAGGGTCTCACTCTGTCACCCAGGCTGGAGGGCAGTGGCATGATCACAGCTCACTGCAGTCTTCACCTCCCAGGCTCAAGCGACCCTTCCAGCTCAGCCTCCCAAGTAGCTGGAACTACAGGAGTATGCCACCACCCCTAGCTAATTTTTGCATTTTCTGGTAGAGTGGGTTTGGCCACATTGCCCAGGCTGGTCTCAAATTCCTGGCATCAAGTGACCCACCCACCTTGGTCTCCCAAAGTGCTGGGATTACAGGCGTGAGCCACTGCATCCAACACAAGCCCGAACCAAGTATTAGAATTATAAAAGGCATTTATCAGGTGAATCTCCAGGGAATTATGCTGGGTTAAAAAAAAAAAGTTTCTTCCATAAGGTTCCTCCTGTACAGTTCCATTACTGTAACATTTTAACATAAATTTTAGAGGCACACAGATGAGTGGTTGCCAGGGGTTGGAAACAGACTCTGGGTGAGGCAGGGTTTTCGGATGGAAACAAAAGGTCAAGGCAGAATGCTGACGGCCCTGGAGTTGCTCAGTATCTTCACTGCGGCGGATGCACGACCCTCCACAGCGAGCAAGTTGTCTAAACACACACACCAGACGTGTACGAGTAACATGAAGAGGCTGGAAAGATCGGTGGGTTGCGTGAGAAGTCGATACAGTAAGCCCTCACTCAACATCATCAGCAGGTTTTAGGAAGCTGTGACTCTCGGCGAAAATGTGTAAACAGTACCAATTCTGCCGCAAGCTAATTGACACATCAACAAGAGTGACGTTCCCAAGGCTTATTTCCGGTCGTAAAACCATCACCAAATTTCTCAAGAGAGACCAAAACCCTTCTAATACTTAACACTGAAATAAATGCAAGCCAAACATACAAATAAGAAAGATGAGTGAAAACAATTTACCCGATTTACTCTGTTATCCCAGTGCAGGGTCTCGGGCGGCTAGACCCCATCCCAGCGGCTCAGAGCGCCCTGGACAGGACATCACCCCACTGCAGGGCACCCAGCACCCCCTCACTCAGGCTGGGGCCACAGAGATTCATCACTTCACCTACATTTAACCTGACATGCGCATCTTTGGCATGTGGGAGAAACTCCACACAGACGTGGGGAGAACGTGCAAACTCCACTCAGCCCAGAAATGAATGGTTTTTTCTCACCAGTAACAAAACAGTGTTAAACGAACAGGCTGTATTCGAGGACCCACTGTTTTCTGGTGAGGATACTAACTCTAGATGTTACTGCTGGAGGCACCAGCTGGAGGGTGCCCAGGTGGTGTATCACTCCTTACAAAAGTATGGGAATTGGCTGTGCACAGTGGCTCACGCCTGTAATCCAGCACTTGGGGAGGCCGAGGCAGGTGGATCACAAGGTCAGGAGTTCAAGGACAGCCTGGCCAACATGGTGAAACCCCGTCTCTACTAAAAACACAAAAATCAGCAGAACGTGGTGGCAGGCGCCTGTAATCCTGGCTACTCGGGAGGCTGAGGCAGGAGCACGGCTTGAACCCAGGAGGCGGAGGTTGCAGTGAGCCAAGACTGTGCCACTGCAATCCTGCCTGGGCAACAGAGCAAGACTCTATCTCAAAACAAACAAACAAAAAACACAAACGCATAGGAATCTATAATTAATCTCAATCACTTCAATTAATAAACAGGATTTTAGAAAAGCGTAATCATTGTTCAAAAACAGTAACTAAAAACCTAGTAGATGGAGTTGACAGGAACAGAACTACCCTGGGGAGCCCGGGGAAGTCAGCTGCTCACCCCAGAAATGGGCTGACAAGCTGCAGGAGCTCGGAGCCAGACACCAGCTCCTGGTTGAAGAGGGCGATGCAGCGGAGAAAGTTTTCATACACCTCCTGGCTCTTCAGCACCCGGCGGACCTGCGGAGACAGCAGTCAGGGACCCACTGTAAATCCCTGCTCCTCAGCTTCTGGGCCTGGTTCCCTTGTAAGTCACCCACATGGGTGTGCGATACAGGAACCAGCTGTCTCTAAGTAAATGAGATCCGTGCAGCATTGCACGGCCCATGTGCATCATCCGTGCAGCAATTGACACAGCCTGCGCATGTGATCCATGCAGCAATTCATAGCCCATGTGTCATCTGTGCAGCAATTCACACGGTCCATGCACGCGAGCCATGCAGCAATTCCCAGCCCATGTGCGTCATCCACGTAGCGAGTTCCATGGCCCGTGCACGCAATCCATGCAGCAATTCACAGCCCATGTGTCACCCATGCAGCAATTCACACAGCCCATGCACGCGAGCTGTGCAGCAATTCACAGCCACCTTGTCTGCTCTGCCCACAAACCCTGGGCGGGAACCCCACAATCACCCCCGATATAGGAAAAAGCCACACGGCTTCAGGGTGGTAGACGTGCATGTCTTCCTCCTCTGCTCGGACTCTCAGCTCTGTCTGGCACACCCACTGTGGACTCCTGCCCACACCCCATGCCTGGGCTCCAAGGCGGCCCACATTCCCTGCTGCAATGAGAGCTGGGGGCCAACTCCATCCTCCCAGCCCCACCTGTTCCATCCTCAGACCACACCCACCCTAGCTCCTCCCTCCCCCAGTCCTGGGGCAGGCCCAGGGAGCATCGGGGCAGCCAGCTGGATGTGGCATCCCCAAGATGGAAGCCAGGGCTCGCCCTCACCTTGTCAAAGAAAGAAAATTCCTGCAGAGTCCCGTACTTCCCCACCGCAGCAATAGACAGGTCTTTGGTACCACGAAGTTTCATTTTCTTCTGTGGGGGGAAATTCCACGCAGTTAACACTCTCCCTTCCACCAGCGGCCTCTGCCACTGCCAAACCTGCGATCTCCGTCTCAGCAGGTGAGCGCTTTGGGTAACGGGCAAGAGTGCGGCCACAGCATCAGAACGGCAAGGGAGATGTGTCCCTGGCTACGACGACCTCAGAATCCTCTCCCTGTTTTGTCCTGAGGGCCAATACAGCAACAAGAAGCGGACCGGAAGAGGGCGGCGCTGGGAAGACCCTGGAGAAGCGAAATGTTAAGTCTCTGCAGGCTCGCGTCTCTAAGCTGGACCTGGACCTGAACTTGGCCACACAATCATAGCGGGAAGGACAATACTGTCCATCCAGAACTATCTCCAAAGTGCCTGAAGAATGGGGATGAGCCGGGCACAGGGGCTCACACCTGTTATCCCAACACTTTGGGAGGATGAGGTGGGAGGACTGAGCCCAGGAGTTCAAGACCAGCCTGGCCAATAACAGTGACATGCCGTCTTTACAAAAAGGTGTGGTGGTGCACACCTACAGTCCCAGCTACTTGGGAGGCTGAGGTGACGGGATAGCTGGAGCCTAGAGGTCAAAGGTTCTGTGAGCTGTGACTGTGCTACTACTGCACTCCAGCCGGGGTGACAAGAATGAAACCCCATTCCCCCGCCAAAAAAAGAACGATGAGGACATGCCAAGAGGACACAGGAGCCAAAGGGACCCCACTGGCCAAATCTGGAACAGCTTGGACATCAACACTGGAATAGATTATAACCCAGAGTCCTTACCTAATATACATAACTAAATAAATGGGAGGATGAGAAAGCTCCTATCAATAGTAGAAAGCCACACAAGTAATAATGCAATCAGAAAACCACCACTGTGGGTGAAGGGCATGACAGGAGCTGGATCCCAGCCCCTCTCTGCCCTCAGCTGTGCAGTGACCAACCTGAACAACTGTACATGGCGGCCTTGCCTGTGAGGGTCCTCAGGGTCAAAAGGAGACTGAGTGGTATACCCGTTTCTTGGGACCTAGGGCAGGGGTAACACTCCTTCGTCCTCCTCCTTTTCACAACAACCATGGGATAGGGAGAACGGACAAACAGCCACCGCATGAACAGCCACCTTAGGGAGACCCGACTTGCAAAGGTCCTGCCACTGGTGAACCTCACCTAGCCCCAGGTGCAGCCCCGAACCGCTGCTTGGGCCTCTGTTCCCTGGTCACCTGCCAGGAAGGCCCAGTTTGCTGGGGCCCCTGGGTGCGCGAACGGCCGCACGTGGCTGACGGTACCTTGGCGGGCGCAGACACGGGGCGGAGCAGCGAGGGCCGGGAGCGCTTCCTGCTGTGCTCCAGAGTCTTGTCGTGCTCACTCTTCTGCACGGTGTGCATCTCGCACGGCCCGTTTCCTGTGAACTGAGGGCACGCGGGAGGCGGTCAGTGCCAGAGACACAGCCGGGCCCGGGCATCTGAGCACCGAGAGCTATTTGCAGCTCAGCCCACAGCCTGTTGGGCACTGGTGGTCACAGACGCCAGGCCAGAGACTCTGTCCACGAGGTGACTCCAGCAAAACGCTCACGTTCCAAGGTAACAGAATCATCAGACTAACAGTGCCAGGCAGGGAGGAGGCCCCTGTGAGGCCTTTATGGGCAAGGGTGGAAGTGGGGTGGGGGTTTCAGGAGGGAGACACCTGAGTCGGGTCTTCCCGTGCCAGGGTTCACAGGGCAGGCCACCGGTGGGCGTCTTGCTGTGTACATGCAAGCGCCACAGAAACACAAGGCGCAGGGGACAGAGAAACAGGCAGCGAGGGGAAGCAGCTCACATTCGCCAGGGCACTGGTGGGGGCCTTGAAGCCAGATTTTGAAGTCTTTTCTATGAATAACAAAACATTTCTGGGGGACGATGTCATCACTTGCTGGGAGTGGAGTGGGGCTCATGGCTGGTTCGGGGCCTGCCTCCCAGGTGCTACGCCAGCCATCGACTAACAGGCCGGGGATGCTCGTCCTGAGCAGGGTACCTACAGGGGGCCAATGACATTTGTCAAGAATTGTTCTGGAACAATCTATTCAGGATTTCGGTCTATATGAATATACGGCAAAGCTGGACAAGCAGAGAGGGATGGACAGACCACAGCTTTGCAGGATGTGGGCAGGGCTGGAGAGGCCTCCCCCTTTCCATGCCGCCACAGGACCTGGATGCAAAGACACACCCCAAGGCCTAAAGTGTGAGTGAGGTGGACTAGTCAGGGTGCATCTGAACAAAACGGCCAGCGGCCATCAGATACCATGAGCTGGCTCTGAGCTGCTGCTAGGAACAGGCATACCTGAAAAACAAAACAAAACGAAAAAACCAAGGGGAAAAAAAAAGCCAAAAAAAGGGGCAGAACAAACAAGATGCCGAGGTGTGTTACTATGTAAAAAGTGTTTGTTGCACATGCAGAGGAAATTTCTGGAAAGATATACATGACACTTAGAATCGCTAACCTCTGAGCGGAATGACTAAGAACTGAGTCAAGGGAGAGAAAGTTTGCATTAAAAACTTGTTGCTCTCAGCCGGGTGCAGTGGCTCACGCCTGTAATCCCAGCACTTTGGGAGGCCAAGGCGGGTGGATAGCCTGAGCTCGGGACTTCGAAACTAGCCTGACCAACACAGTGAAACCCCGTCTCTACTAAAAACACAAAAACGTAGCCAGGCATGGTGGCGGGCGCCTATAATCCCAGCTACTCGGGAGGCTGAGGCAGGAGAATCACTTGAACCTGGGAAGCAGAGGTTGCGGTGAGCCAAGATTGCACCGTTGCACTCCAGCGTGGGTAACAAGAGCGACACTCCATCTCAAAAAAAAAAAAAAATTTATACTCTTGCTAATACTTAGCATTAGTACATTAATAGGCACTATTTAAAAAATAATAGTAATAAAGACTTATCAGGCCAGACGTGGTGGCTCACGCCTGTAATGCCTGTAATCCCAGGGCTTTGGGAGGCCGAGGCAGGCGGATCATTGAGGTCAGGAGTTCAAGACCAGCCTGACCAATATGGTAAAATCCTGTGTCTACTAAAAATACAAAATTATCCAGGCGTGGTGGTATACACCTGTAGTCCCAGCTATTCAGGAGGCTGAGGCAGGAGAATCGCTTGAACCTGGGAAGCAGAGATTGCACTGAGCCAAGACTGTACCACTGCATTCCAGCCTGAGCGACAGAGCAAGACTCTGTCTCAAAAAAAGAAAAAACCAACAACAACAACAACAACAACAAAATAAAGACTTATTCTTCAGCCATAGGCAAGACTTACAGGAATTCAACTTATTTGAGGAATAATTACCCAAAGACCCAAGGCTCTTTCGAGAGCTGTGTAAGTGGAGAAACTGGCATCTACACAACGAGTCTGCACTGGTTCTTCTTTCTTTTTTTTTTTTTGAGATGGAGTCTGCCGTCACCCAGGCTGGAGTGCAATGGCGCGATCTCAGCTCACGGCAACCTCCGCCTCGCGAGTTCAAGCTATCTCCTGCCTCGGCCTCCCGAATATTGGGGATTACAGGCATGAGCTGCCAGGCCTGGCTAATTTTTGTATTTTTTCTATATGCTGGAACACTTGCAAACTGACGCCCAAAAGATGCAGCTGGGCGACCACATGACAGGTGCTGAACGGGAATGGGGGACCTGGAGGGGAACCTGCCATGCATCCTGCCAAGCTCACAAGGCAGGTATAGCAGATCTTCCCCAACGGTTCACATGGTTCTTGCTTTTCAGTTAATGTCCCAATTTGTGAACATCTGAGCTAGATGGAACCCACCGCGCCAAAGACCACCTAGGTGTGGGAATAGCAAATTAACATAGGCTCTGTTTTTGTAAATAAAATTTTATCAGCATCTAGCCACACACACATTCCTTTTGTAAAGAATTACTCGTACCTGGTCATGCCCATTCAATTTTTTTTTTTTTCTTGAGGCAGAGTTTTGCTCTTTTTGCCGGGCTGGAGTGCAGTGGTACAACCTTGGCTTGCTACAACCTCCACCTCCCGGGTTCAAGCAATTCTCCTGCCTCAGCCTCCGGAGTAGCTGGGATTACAGGCGAGCACCACCAAGCCCAGCTGATTTTTTGTATTTTTAGTAGAGACAGTGTTTCTCCATGTTGTCCAGGCTGTTCTCAGACTCCTGACCAAAGGTGATCTACCCTCACTGGCCTCCCAAAGTGCTGGGATTACAGGCATGAGCCACAGTGCCCGGCCACCCATTCATTTTGTAAATAAAGTTTTGTTGGCACCCACCCAGCCACACCCACTCATTTTGTAAGTGAAGTTTTATTGGGACACAGCACTCCCAGTCACTGACATATATATTCCATGACTGCTTTCAAGCTACAGGGCAGAGGTGAGTCTTTACACAAAGATGAACTGGCCTGCAAAGCCTGAGATATTTAATATCTGGCCCTTTCTAGAAGAGGTTTGCCAATGTCGGATCCAGGCCAGTCAAGTCTGATTAGGCCAAATATCATCTTTGGTTTCCTTTTTTTTTACAGTTTTAATGTATGTCTAAAAGTTAACATAAATATGTACTTCACACAACAGATGCTGCACTGGGTGCTTTTAATAATTTTTAAAAGTTCATCCAATCTTTCTAAATGTGCAAGATGGCTCTAATAACCCAATACATACTAAAAACCTTAGCTAAATTGACAACAAATGCTATTTAAGAGTCTCATGCTCTACTAACTGAGCTAGCTGGGCATGCTGCATAAATGCCACTTCAAGAAATCATGGACTGGGCATGATGGCACATGCCTGTAATCCTAACACTTTGGGAGGCCAAGGTGGGAGGATGGCTTGAGTCTGAGACCAACCTGGGCAACACTGTGAGACCCCGTCTCTACAATTAAAAAATAAAAGCTAGCCAGGCATGGTGGCATGCACCTGTAGTCCCAGCTACTTGGGAGGCTGAGGCAGGAGGATCACTTGAGTCCAGGAGATTGAGGCTGCAGTGAGCCAAGATCGCACCACTGCACTCCAGCCTGGGTGACAGAGTGAGGCCTTGTCTCTAAAAACAAACAAAAACAAAACAAACAAAATAATAATAGAGACACAAACAAGTAGTCCACAGCATGTAAAAAATATATATATATTATAATACTACTACTAAAGAAACTGCTGGCAGGCACTTTTCAGCGGGAAATGCTTATTTTCCCAGGGCGAGCTTTGTCAGGGACCGGTTTTATAAATGCCACCAGGGGGCACTGCAGCCCCAGCCATCAGAGGACCAGTCTCCAATCAATGTCCCCCAAAATGACCAGACTTCACGGTACTTGAAGAATGACCACCAGATTAAAGCCGACAGAACCAAGGCTACCCAGGCCACAGAACTCCAAAGACTTTGGGCGAGTAGCTGCAGGCTGCCAGTTCAATGAGTCACCACATGTCTGCTGGGTAGAGCCCCCACGGTGCTGGCAGAGGGGGTTCCCCCATGGTACAGATCCCCAGAGCGAGGGTCTCAGAGTTAGTTCTTTAGTCAGCCTTGTCAGCGTGTTAGAGCCCCAGGTCACCCTGGCCAGACGCTTTCCTGGGGAACCTTCCAACCACACTAGCCGGGGGACATCCTCATGGCCACTCCTAGATGAGGAAGTTGAGGCTCGGGGAAGTGACCTGCCAGGCTCCCGCTGCTCCGGGCGCTACACCCCAACCTCCTGTCTCCATCCAGAGTGCCTTGGGGTACCCTTCACCAGGGCAGCAAAAGCTTGCCCAGGCCTCAGCCAGGCCTTCCCTGAGGCCAGGAAGGCTGAACTGTCCCCACCCTTGGCCACTCTGCACTGTCAGCAATGGCTCAAGGAGTCCAGCTAGGGACACCACTGGAGCCCATCTCCCGGTGGGGACAGGCATGTGGGAGAAGAGCTGCCAACAGGGAGGTGAGAGCTCAGAGGTGAGACCCAGGTCCAAGGGAATGAGACCCACAGACAGTCCGCAAGTGGACAAGGAGGAAGACACGTGTCACACAGCACAGGTGACAGCAGTCAGCTCCAACCGCCGGGGACTTGGAGGCCTGAGTGCCCACTCCTGGCACCGTGTCAACACCAGAAGGGTGTGAAGCGGGAGAGAGGCAGACACTCCTCTGATTCGAGTGGTCACAGGGCTCCAAAATTAGGGGGTCTCTAACAAGCAGGAAGGGGGAGTGACGCCAGAATTTCTAAGAGAAAACCAAGGAGAGATTCTGAACTTCAGAGAGACACCAGGGGGACAGTGGAATCGGAGGAGATAACACGAGGGGATTCCCAAGGAGGCGGCTCAGGGCAGAGGCCTGTGATAGAGGTAAGCTCCCTGTCAAAGGAGGAATTCCAGGTGCAGGCTCTGTTGACCCTCCCCCAGGCCAGGCAGTGAGCTGGTTCTGGGGACACAGGGTGGGGATGACCTCTTTCCTGCACAAACGCAGTTGTCCCTTCCAATGCTCCGAGCATCTGAAGGACAAGAGCTTGTGGGGTCCCCACCTGAGCAGGAGGGAGGGTCACTCCTGTGTGAGAGAGAAGGAAACCAGGCCCAGGAGGTGGCACAACCCTCCTGCCTCTATGGCCTGTGCTACTATGCCTACAAGCTTGGCCCAGGCCCCAGGCAGGAGGGAAAGTCAGGGTAAGGCTCCCGGACTTGACCCCCACAGAGCGGCATGCAGTCCCTGTGACTTTGAGTTAGGAAGTGCTTCTGGGTGGCATCCTTGCTTCGAGGGGGTTCTCACACCCTAGAGACAGTAACTCATGGGGACAAGCCCCACCTGCTGGCCTAGATAAACTGCAGAGACTCTGGCCAAGGACAAGGGAAGGACAGGGTTTGGAGAGCATGGAGGAAAACCCAAGAAAATATACTGGAAATGTACCAGACTCAACTGAGGGTCCAGATCATGTCCACACCTAGACCCCTGCTGGTGCCTGAGCTCTTCCCTTCAAGACCTGCTTCCCCCGCCCGACCCGCTCCACTTCATCCATTCAGAGCCAGGACCCAGGAGAGGAGGTGGTGAGAAATGGAAGTGCTGGTCGGGAACCTCTCATCTTGATGTGTCATCAAGGACCAAGAGGAAGAAGAAAAGAGGAAATGGAATATTCACAAGCTAGGAACAGAAGAGAACTTTTAGCCTAATAAAGCAGTTACGAAAAAAACAGAGCTGGCATCACACTCAAAGGTGAAGGGCTGGGCCAGGCGCGGTGGCTCACGCCTGTAATCTCAGCACTTTGGGAGGCTGAGGTGGGCGAATCACCTGAGGTTGGGAGCTCGAGACCAGCCTGACCAACATGGAGAAACCCCATCTCTACTAAAAAATACAAAATAAGCCAGGCATGGTGGTGCATGCCTGCAATCCCAGCTACTCGGGAGGCTGGAGCAGAAGAATTGCTCGAACCCAGGAGGCGGGGGTTGTGGTGAGACAAGATCGCGCCATTGCACTCCAGCCTGGGCAACAAGAGCAAAACTCCATCACACACACATACACAAAAGGTTAGGGACTGAAAGATTTTCCTTCATGATCAGGAACAAGGTAAGGATGCCTGCTTTCAGCATTTTCCATTCAACACAGGATTGGAAGTCCCTTTTAGAACAATAAGACAAGAAGAAGTAATGAAAAGTATCTGCATTGGAAAGAAAAGATTCCCTGATGTTTGCCGGGTGCGGTGGCTCACGCCTGTAATCCTAGAACTTTGGGAGGCTGAGGTGGGTGGATCACCTGAGGTCAGGAGTTTGAGACCAGCCTGGCCAACATGGTGAAACCCCGTCTCGACTAAAAATACAAAGATTAGCTGGGTGTGGTGGTGCATGCCTGTAGTCCCAGCTATTTGGGAGGCTGAGGCAGGAGAACTGCCTGAACCCAAGAGATGGAGGTTGCAGTGAGCCAAGATCACACCACCGCACTCCAGCCTAGGTGACAGGGTGAGACTATCTCAAAAAAACAAACAAACAAACAAAAAACCCAAAAAGGCTGGGTGCAGTGGCTCACGCCTGTAATCCCAGCACTTTGGGAGGCCGAGGTGGGCAGATCGTGAGGTCAGTTCGAGACCAGCCTGGCCAACATAGTGAAACCCCATCTCTACTAAAAAATACAAAAAATTAGCCGGGCATGGTGGCAGGCCCCTGTAATCCCAGCTACGTGAGAGGCTGAGGCAGGAGAATCGCAAGTGCCCCTGCATTCCAGCCTGGCAACAGAACAAGACTCTGTCTCAAAAAAAAAAGAAACAAAAAGAAAAAGAAAGAAAACAATTCCATTTACAATGGCATCAGTAAAAATTAAATACTTTGGAGTAAATTTGAACAAGGCAATGCAAGACTTGTCCACTAAAAACTACAAAACTGCTAAAAGAAATTAAAGACAACATAAATAAACGGAAAGTTTTTTGTGTGTTCATGGATTGAAAAACTTAACAATGTTAAAATGGCAATATTTGCCCAAGGTGATCTGAAGAGTCAATGCAATCCCTGTCAAAACCACAATGGTCTTTTTTGTAGAAATGGATAAGCTAATCTTCAAATTCATACGGAACTGCAAGGGGTTCTGAATGTCAAAACAATCTTGAAAAAGAAGAACAAAGTTGGAGGTTTCACACTTCCTGATTTTGGCCTTACTACACAGCTACAGTTATCACAACAGTGTGGTACTGGCATAAGAATAGACACACAGTCCAGTGGATCATAATTAAGAATTCCAAAATAAAATCATACAACTGTAGTCAATGGGTTTTCAACAAGACTGCCAAGACCATTCAGTGGGGAAAAACAGTTTCTTCAACAAATGATGCTGGGACAACTGGATTTCCACATGCAAAAAAATAAAGTTGGACTCCTACCTCACACCATATGCAAAAATTGAAATAGGTCAATGACATAAATATAAGAGTCAAAACTATAAAACTATTAGGAGAACATGATGGGAAACCTTCATGCCCTTGATGATTATTTCTTATATTTGACATTAAAAACATGCATGACATCAAAGAAAAAACATGTAAACTGGGCTTCATCAAAATTAAAAACTGGTGTGCATCAAAGACACTAATACAAAAGTAAAAAGACAGCCTACAGAATGGAGGAAAATATTTGCAAATCATAGCTCTCGTAAGGGTCTAGCATCAGAATATATAAAGAACTCTTACAACTCAACAATAAAAAGACAAATTTAAAAAATTGGCAAAGGATGTAAATAAACATTTCTCCAAAGAAGATGGACAAACAGTCAATATACACATGGATGCTCAACATCATCTGTCATAAGGGAAATGCAAATCCAAACCACAACACAGCTGGGCACAGTGGCTCATGCCTGTAATCCCAGAACTTTGGGAGACTGAGGCAGGTGGATCACTTGAGGCCAGGAGTTCGAGACCAGCCTGGGCAACATGGCAAAACCCTGTCTCTACAAAAAATACAAAAACTAGCCTGGCATCATGGCGTCGCCTGTAATCCCAGCTACTCAGGAGGCTGAGGTGGGAGGATTACCTGAGCCTGGGAGATGGAGACTGCCATGAACAGTGATCAGTTGTGCCACTGCACTCCAGCCTGGGTGAGACAGCACGAGCTTGTCTCAAAAAATAAAAACAAACCTTAATGGAATAACACTTCACATGGTTACTTAAAAAAAAAAAAAAGGCAAAATAAAAAAACCCCAAACCTGGAAAATAACAAATGTTGGCGAAGTTGTGGAGAAACAGAACCCGCAGTACATTGCTGTTGGGGATGTAAAACGGTGCAGTCAGCACGGAAAACAGTTGGGAAGCCCTTCAAAAAGTTAAACACAGAATTACCGAGTGACCCAGCCATTCTACTCCTAGGGGTCTACCCAAAAGAACTGAAGACAGGTGTTCAAACAAATCCTTGGAATCAATGTTGACAGCAGCACTGTTCACAACAGCCAAAAGGCAGAACAACCCAAATGTCCACCAACAGAATGCAGATCTACAGAATGTGGTCCATCCGTCTAATGGAATTATGATTCAGCCAGAAAAAGGAACGAGCACTGATCCATGGTACACGTGAGGCCTTGAAAACATGCTGCTGACTGAGAGAAGCGAGACACAAAGGCCACATACTGTGAGATTCTGCTGATCTGAAATGTTCAGAACGGGCGAATCAGACCACAGACAGGAAGTAGATGAGTGGTTGCCAGGAGCTGGGGGAGGGAGGTGGGGAGTGGCTGCTGAGGGGGAGGGGGTCACCTTTCAGGGGGATGAAAATGTTCTGTAACTCGGTAGTGGTGAAGGTTGTACAATACTGAGGATGTACCAAATGCCAGGGAATTGTTCACTTTCAATGCTGAATTCTGTTACATAAATTTCAGTTCAATTTTTAAGAAACTCTTATGTTTATAGGGGAAAAAAAGAATTGGAACAACTGGCCCTGGCAGCTTCAGGTCATAGGCAGGGCAGAAAGGTTGACCATGCAGTTTGAGCCCTGAACCTCCCTATCGAAGGCCCCTCCTGGCCCATCTCTGCTCTCTACCACCCACGGTCAGGGCCAGACCGCAGGCCACCCCCACTACTGGCTCCTCCAGATCCCACCTGCTGGAGCCCCAGATCAGTCTCATCCAACAGGGGAAGCGATGGTGGTGGACCCAAGCCCTCCTGCACCTTCCCACAGGGCCGGGGTCCCAGGCAGGGTGTGGCTCTGCAGGGTAGGCCCAGGAGGTAGAAACTCTGGATCCCCTGTCTCCATCGAGCTCTCTGCCTCCCAAACCACCCTGAGACCCGGGTGCTGTCTGTACAGAGAAGCACTTTGGCAAATCGTTTCCAAGCTTGCTGTGCAGGTGGAGCCTACAATGAGGAACCCCTGGGTGCCTGCACCCTACACAGCTTCTGGGGGACCCTGATGTGGCCTCGAGGGTGGTAGGGCCTGGCCCAGCCCAGGGTTGAACTGGCTGGGGCCCTGTCTCCTCACTGAGGTCCCCGGGGCTGGGCAGGGGCTCTCCGCACTCACTAGAGACCGCTTGGCTTCGGGCAGGAACTGTCCAAACTCTGAGAGCAGGTCCTCCTGGCCCCGGAAGAGGTTGGCCACCTCGGTGAATACCTCCTCTTCGGACATGCCTCGGAACGGCCGGCCCCTCGTGTTCAGCTGCTCCTTCTGCCAGTTTTGAGGAAAGGGAAAACAAGTCGTTAGCCAAGAAGCGCCGTGCCCTGGGCTGGGACACTCAGGCAGCCCTCGTGGAGGAGACGGGATGACTCTCAGAAAGAGCACCTGCCAGCGGGGCCCACAGTACTGTCTGCTCACGTGTGGATCTCACTGCCTGGCACAGCCTGAGCCCCGGCCATGGGCAGGAGTATGGGAGGGACTCGAGGAGGGACACCTAGCAGTGTCCACGAGCAGAGGGGTCAGGGAGGTGGGAGGCTGGCCGGAATCAGGGTGAGCTGGGGAAATGCAAGGGAAGGAGCAAACTCCAGGACTTCCCAAGGGAAATGGGGAGTGTGGAACTGGGGGAGCGCTGGGCCATGAAGCAAAGGGACTTCCAGGTCAAGGCACCTACTGGCCCAGAGTCATTGAGACCCAAGGAAAATGGACTGATCCAGAGCTTGAAGACACAAGAGGACCAAAGGGAACCCAGGTTGGAAGGCAGAAACAGGCCAGCAAAAAGAAGGTGGCTGTTAGAAATATGTTCTCGTCAATTTTACACCCAAGAAAATTGACACCTTGTCAATTACACCCCAGAAATTTACACCCAAGAAAACTGACACCTTGTCCATTTTCACGGAACAAGAGGCAGTGGGGCCGGAGCCTTTAGGACAGTATGGCATGGCCTCCACAGTCCCAACTCCACAGCTGCAAAGCAGGAGTCCCTCTGCTGGCGCCTCCCTCCCCACTGGGCCCACTGCAGCCTGTGGGAAGAGAAGCAAGTTTTAAATTTTGGGGCCAGTGGCATCTACACCGCAGGGGAAAAAAACACCAGCCTTCCAAAAAGTCACCAAAAGTCACTTAAAAGCAAAATTTTAAAATAAGCAAAACCCACTCAGTTCAAATAATAAATGACCTATCTGCACACAGACAGAACAACCAAATTGACTGAAGTTCAAAGAAACGCAATTTAGGCTGGCCATGATGGCTCATGCCTGCAATCCCAGCACTTTGGGAGGCCAAGGCAGAAGAATGGCTTGAGTCCAGGAGTTCAAGACCAGCCTGGGCAACATAGTGAGACCCTATCTCTACAAAAAATTTTACACTTGATCTTAGCCAAAAGGCTGAGGAGTGATACAAAAAATGTTAAACATTATCTAGGCATGGTGACACACTCCTATGGTCCTAGTTACTTGGGAGGCTGAGGCAAGAGGATTGCTTAAGCCCAGAAGTTCAAAGCTGCAGTGAGCTACAATTGTGACAGTGCGTACTCCAGCCTGGGCAACAGAGCGAGACCCTATCTAAAACAAAGAGGAAAAGTAACAATCACCAAATTGACCGATATTTAAAGAATACAATTTGAAACAGCGCCACAGCCATTTTCCGCTCATCTGACTACGCAGACAGAAGAGGCCAGGATTTCTGATGAGGATGTGAGGAACAAGTGCTCTCACACACAGAAGGCAAGGCCGGGCATGGTGGCTCACGCCTGTCATCCCAGCTACTTGGGAGGCCGAGGCGGGAGGACTGCTTGATTCTGGAAAGTTGAGGTTGCAGTGAGCGGTGATCGCACCACTGCACTCTTGCCTGTGTGAGAGTGAGACCCTGTCTCAAAAAAAAATCCAACCAAATCAAAACAGAACTCCAACGGCTATCTGTGCATGCATGCTCACTGCAGCACTATTCCCAACAGCCAAAAGCTGGAAGCAGCCCCGTGTCCACTGACAGATGAACGGACAAACAAAATATAGTCCATTCATTTGCTGAAATATTATTCAGCCTTAAAAAGGAAGGAAGTTCTGACTCATGGTACAACACAGATGAACCTTGAGGACATTATGCTAAGTGAAATAAGTCAGTCACAAAAAGACAAATACTTACAGGAGGTCCCTAGAGTCATCACATCCATAGAGACAGAAAGCAGAAAGGTGGGTGCCAGGGGCTGGGGGGACAGGGGATGGTAGGTGTTTAACGGGGACAGAGCTTCAGTTTCACAAGATGAAAAGAGTTCTGAAGGTGGATGGTGGCAATGGTTACAGAACAATTTGAATGTACTTAATGCCACAGAACTGTACACTTAAAAATGGTGAAAATGGTAAATTTTGTTATGTGTACTTTACAATAGAAAAAAAAAATGCAAAAAACCCAGCTGGAGGCTTCTGTCATTCCAGCACTTTGAGAAACTGAGGTGGATGGATCACTTGAGTTCAGGAGTTTGAGACCAGCAAGGGCAACGTGGCAAAACCCTGCCTCTACAAAAAATACAAAAATTAGCCAGGTGTGGTGACGCATGCCCATGTTCTAGCCCGAAGTAGCCTCCACTACTTGGGAGGCTGAGGTTGGAGGATGGCTTGAGCCCAGGAGGTGGAGGTTGCAGTGAGCAGAGGCCGTGCCACTGCACTCCAGTCTGCGCAACAGAACCAGACTCTGTCTCAAGAAAAACGAACAAAAAACCCCCACCATTAAGTAGAATTTTACAGGATTTTATCAATTCCAATAAGCAAATCTGAGTATCTGCAGGGCCCTACACTGGATCAAACCACAAAACCCACAAGGAATTGCAACCTGAGTCCTCACCTGGTACGTGTGCAGGATCTCCAGGAATGATCTGTAGATTTCCGGGTGGTCCAGGAAGCGGGTCTTAATCTTATTCACGTAGCTGATGGCGTTGTTGAACTCCACGGAATCCGACTCCAGGGGCACCTGGGGTTTGTCCTCCTTATACGGCACCTGCTGCTTGAAGTCCTCTGCACAGTCCCCGTGGTTGTGCGAATTCTCCTGACAAGGTGACAGTGAGTTACTGCCAGGCCCGACACTGGGAGCAGACTGTGAAAAACGCCAGGCCCAGCCACTGCACAAGCACAGAAAAAACTTAGCATGGAGCCAAGTTTTGTTAGAGACAGGGAAAGGTTACTGCTGAGGGCCTGGAGGCAAGCAGGGCGGGCGCACAGGTGAGTCCCCCCAGCTCACCTCCACCGCATCCCTACCAGTCTACTCAAAGAACATGCCAAGTTCAAGGAGCACCTTCCATTTTGAAAACTTCACATTTGGGAGAAATGTACAAAGTGGATGTTTAAGCCTCTGCAGCGCCAAGTGCTGGGCTGTGTATAATAGAGGAGTCTCCCACGCCTTCCGCAATCTGTTTCAGCAAGATTGCTTTCACGTGGAAGAGCGCGTGCTGCCAGCAGTGATGCCACAGTAGGATGCATAAGGTGGGGACCCTGGAGGTTAGAGGCGACCCACCGTCCAGGTTGCTGGGGACTTCAGGGATTCCTGGGACGTGACATTTTTGGTGCTAAGCCCCAGGCAAATCGCAACGAGATGCATCGTGCATCGGTCACTTGAGAGAAAGACAGGCCCTGAACACCCACCAAGAATGCCCTCTATGCGTGTACTTTTCAGCCCATATGAGCAAAAAGAGAAACAAAGTTGCCTCCTTCCCACATTGTGGTGGGCCAGGACCACGCCCTCAAAGGAGGAGCTGTTGTTTCTAAAGCAGAATGACGTGGCACCGTCTCCAGTCAGTCCGGATTCCTCCAGCCTGGCTGAGGTTTCTGCTTGGATAACCCGTGCTCGGTGAGTCCCAGAGAACCCTCTTTCACCAAAGTGAAATGGCGCCATCTCCCGGCACCCCTGTGTGTTTCTCTGCGCCACCTGTTGCCACCTTATGGATAACATGTATTTTACTCATTTTATTATCCGTCCATCCTGGCTGGATTCCACGAGGGTGGGGATTTTGATCAGGGCTGTACCCCCAGAGCCTGGAACAGTATGAGAAGAGTGGGTTTCACCTGCTGTTAGGGATGGTTAGGTGAACGGATGAAGGGACACAAAGACTTCACTGCTTCTGCTGCCCTGCAGTGCCCAACACTGCACGTGACCCAAACACTGACCCTGATAATCTACTGGGCTAGGCAAGGTCAGGCACACCACTGCCGTCCTATACTGAAAGAGGCACCTCTGCTGGGCACAGGCACCGTCAGCGGGATGAGTGCATCCGGCAGCTGCCACAATAAGGTACCCCAGACTGGCTGAAACGATGGAAGTTTGTATCGCTCCGTTCTGGAGGCCAGGAGGCCAAGGTCAAGGTGCCAGGAGGTTTGGTTTCCTCTGGGGCCTCTCTCCTCGGCTTGCGGACGGCTACTGACTCACTGTGTCCCCATGTGGTCGCCTCTGCACGTGCACATCCCTGATGTCTGTCCTAATCGCCTCTTCTCATAAGCACACCCATCACACTGGATTAAGGCCCACCCTAACCACCTCGTTTTACATAATCACCTCTTCAAAGGATGATTCAGCCTCTTCAAAGGCTCTATCTCCAAATACAGTCACATTCTGAGGCATTGGGGGCTAGAGCTAAAACACATGAATTTGGGGTGGGGGGAAAACACAATTCTGTCCAGAACAATGGGTACAGAGACAATTCTGAAAGTCTCAGCTGAAAAGCAGAAACACAAGATGCAGAACAGCTGAGACTCTAAAACCCTTTCTCCTCAGTGGTGGATTTGTTCTTTTTATTTTGAGATGGAGTCTGGCCTTCCAGGCTGGAGTGCAGTGGTGCGATCCCGGCTCACTGCAACCACCGCTTCCCAGGTTCAAGCGATTCTCCTGCCTCAGAACTTTGGGATCACAAGTGCCGCACAACCACACCCAGCTAATTTTTGTATTTTTAGTAGAGATGGGGTTTTACCATGTTGGCCAGGCTGGTCTTGAACTCCTGACCTCAAGTGATCCTCCCACCTCTGCCTCCCAAAGTGCTGAGATTTACAGGCATAAGCCACTGCACCTGGTCAGTGGCGGAATTTGTTCTAAGATTCTCAGGATGTTTGTGATGATTCTCTCTGCTCAGGCTCACGGGGCTGCTGTTTCTCCACGGTGCACAGGTTTGACATAGGAAGGGGTCGGAACCAGCAGGGTGTGGGCATGTGGGGAAGCAGCCTGAAACCAAGGTCTGTTTCAAAGGCAGGCAGCTGTAAGCTCACCGTGAGCCCCCCACCACTCCAATGAGGTATCTCCAAACTCCACATACACCCTCTGATCCCCTAAAGTGAGCCACTGCGACAAGATGGGGAAACACGCTCTAGACCAAAGCCTGGCAAAAAAGAGCCAGATGGGATGCTGCAGCCATTACAGGAGACAGTGTGGCAGTTCCCTCAATGGGGTGACCACAGAATTATGGCTACCATATGAGCCAGTAATCCTGCCCCCAGGTATATACCCAAGAGAACTGAAAACAAGCCAGGCGCGGTGACTCACACCTGTAATCCCGGCACTTTGGGAGATTGAGACAGGTGGATCACCCAAGATTAGGAGTTCAAAACCAGCCTAACCAACATGTAGAAACCCCGCCTAATCCCAGCTACTCGGGAGGCTGAGGCAGGAGAATTGCTTGAACCTGGGAGGCAGAGGTTGCGGTGAGCCGAGATCACACCACTGCACTAGAGCCTGGGCAACAAAAGCGAAACTCTTGTCTCAAAAGAAAAAAAAAAAAAAAAAAAAGGAAAAGAAAACAGGTGCTCCGGCCAGGCACGGTGGCTCATGCCTGTAATTCTAGCACTTTGGGAGGTTGAGGTGGACAGATCACTTGAAGTCAGGAGTTTAAGACCAGCCTAGCCAACATGGTGAGACCCAGTCTCCCCTAAAAATACAAAAATTAGCCGGGTGTGGTGGTATGTGCTGGTAGTCCCAGCTACTTGGGAAGCAGAGGAAGGAGAACTGCTTGAACCCAGGAGGTGGAAGCTGCAGTGAGCCAACACTGCACCACTGCACTCCAGCCTGGGCAACTAGAGTGACACCTCACCTCAAAAAAAGGAAAAACGAAGGCCAGGAGCAGGCGCGGTGGCTCACGCCTGTAATCCCAGCACTTTGGGAGGCTGAGGCAGGTGAATCACAAGGTCAGAAGTTCGAGACCCACGTGGCCAACATGGTGAAACCCTGTCTCTACTAAACATACACAAAATTTGCCTGGCGTTGTAGCAGGTGCCTGTAATCTCAGCTACTCAGGAGGCTGAGGCAGGAGAATCGCTTGAACCTGGGAGGTGGAGGTTGCAGTAAGCTGAGATTATGCCGCTGCACTCCAGCCTGGACAACAGAGTGAGATTCTGTCTCGAAAAAAAAAAAAAAAAAAAAAAAAAAAAAAGAAAGGAAGCAGGTGTTCCAACACATCGTCACATATGAATGTAGCAGCACTACACACAACAGCCAAAAGGTGGAAATAGCCCAAACATCCATCGATACACAAATGGACACGCGAAATGTGGTCCCTCCACACAGTGGAGGATGACTCAGTCTTCAGGAAGGAAGCACTGATACCCGCTCCGATGTGAACGTCGTCGGAAAACACGATGCGAGTGAGAAGCCAGACACCAAGAGCCACACGATGTATGACCCCATTGACGTGAAACGGCCAGAACAGGCAAATTCACAGACACAGGAAGCGGACTCATGGTTGCCAGGGGCTGGGGGCAGAGGAGGTTTCAAAGGTTCAGGGTTTGATCTTGAGGTGATGTTAGTGCTCTGGAATTAGTGGTGATGGCTGCACAGTATCGTGAATACAGTAAAATGATGATGATGGATTTCATGTTATGTGAACAGTATCACAATATAAAACATTTTTTAAAATTTAATCCTTTGAAAATGTAAAAATCATAACCAATCACACCGAGCCAAGCTGGCTTTGGCCTCCAAGCTGTCACTTGCCAACTGCACTGCTCTAAACCACCCAGCACAGGCCCAGCTTTCTCTTTCCTTCTGGCACCCCTTCTCTCCCCGTGCCCTGGGTGGCCTCATCAGAGTTCCAAACGCTTCCCACACCATGACAAACCTTCCTGCATGGCCGACACCTCCACGTGAGCATCCACACACAGCCCCACCTGGGTACTGATTAATGGAGCCTCGAATGGCAGGCACCTCACAGACACAGAGCAGCTCCCTAGCTGCCTGGCCTCGTACACCTCAGCAGGGGCCCACACTTACCCAGAGAATCAGGCAACCTGGGATCACCCCAGACTTCTCACTTTCACTGACGTCCCCCCAACACTCCTAATCGACATCTTCGTCCACTCTACCCCCAATACATGGGAACCCCCCCCCGGTCCTTGTCACCATCCATTCTGTCCCCATCACACAGGAACCCCCTCTGGTCCTTGTCACCACTCACTGTATCCATGACTGTTCACTGTCCCCATCACTGGGGGGTCCTTGTTACCACCCATTCCGTCCCCATCACTGTCTACTTGGTTCCCATCACTTGGGGACTGTCTCTGGTCCTTGTCACCATCCCCTCTGTCCCCATCACTGTCCACTCTGTCGCCATCATTCGGGGCCCCCTCCGGTCCTTGTCACCATCCTCTCTGTCCCCATCACTGTCTACTCTGCCCCCACCACCTGGGGCCCCTCCCTGGTCTCCCAAGAGCCTCCTGACCCCTCATTGTCAGCGCAGCAGCAGAACTGCCTCCCAGAACCCTCCAGTGGCTGTCGTGACCCAGCTCCTGACCCTGCCGGTCTCCTTGGCCACACCTCAAGCACACCGCAGGCCATTCCTCACTCTCACCGCAGGCCACCACACGCCACCAGAACAGTCCCCTCTGAAACAGGCCCTGCCCACAGCACCTCCTCTTCCCCAGCCTGCTCCTTCCTCTCTCTGCCCTCGGCCACAGCACAGAAGCCCACGTCTGCCCGTCTGTTTCTTATGGGACTCCCCACCTTGACTGTGCAGGAACCCTGAGAGCAGAGCCTCTGAGTAAACCCCAGGGCCTGGCTCGGGGAAAGGGGTCACT